TTCAAGGTCACAGGGGTCAAATATGTTTAAAACCTTTAAACAACTTCTTCTGAATAACCAAAATGCCCAGGGTGATGATATTTGGCCAGTAGCATGCTGGGATGAAGGGCTACCAAGTTTGTTCAAATGAATGACCTTGACCAACTTTCAAGGTCACAGGTGTCAAATGTCTTAAAATCTTCAAACAACTTCTTCTCAATAACCAAAAGGCCCAGGGTACTGATATTTGGCCTGTAGCAATCAGGGCTACCAAATTTGTTCCAATGAATGACCTTGACCCACTTTCAACCTAATGTCATTGTTTGACATTCAAGGTCACACTGATATTCTGCCTGTTGCTGTATTTTAGTCCACTTTTAAGTTTACAAGTGTGAGATTAATACCAGGTGAGCGATGCATGCCCATTGGGCCTCTTGTTCATTCTCTTACATATGCTTGTCTAATTTATCCATGTTTTCAAAAACAGAAATGGTATTATTTTGGTTTTTAAGCTCATTTTGAAAACAGCAAACTATATTTGTGATTTACCATACCCGTCTTGGTACCCCCTGAAACCCACTTTCGGTCAAAGTTTTACCTTTGTTTTTCGGTATGTCATACAATAGGACATCTTTGAACAAAATAAGGAGGTGAAAATCTGAATATACCGGGGCCCAAAAAAATAGACACCCTTCTTTTCATAATGAACTATACCAACCTTTGAATTGGAGGAGTTTTAATGTGTTTCTAGGGGTGAATAAGTAAAAACGTGCAAAAACGAAGTAAATTACCTGATTGATTCCTGTATACAGTAATGGTATCACCTCTTGTCACCGTTATCCTTAAATACCATTTAATCCTGGAGCTATTAGCATTCAAGTGTGAGCCATTTTGCCAAGTTTATAAATGGCCGTTAAAGTTTGAGAGGGAAATACTTGTTACTTATATATAAAGATAAGTTATAATGTAGGTCACTCATGTGAGCAGAGATTTCCTAACCTGAACTAATGTGTAAGATTATTTTTCTCACGTGAGGAAATAATTGAAAATGAGCATTACAAGTGAACAATTTCTTTGCTGACATAAACAAACTGGAATCTCATGTGCAAACTTTAAACTTGCATACATTTCTAACTTATTTCTGCTGCTCATTAGTTTCTCATGTGCAAAAGTTAGATTTTTCTGTATGGGCCACATATATATATAAGTGTTGTTTGAGTTAAGAACTTGCCATATACAAGTCAATAAGATGTATGCACACAGTGTTTTGAGTCAATAAGATGTATGCACACAGTGTTTTGAGTCAATAAGATGCATGCACACAGTGTTTTGAGTCAATAAGATGTATGCACACAGTGTTTTGAGTCAATAAGATGTATGCACACAGTGTTTTGAGTCAATAAGATGCATGCACAGTTTTTTGAGTCAATAAGATGCATGCACACAGTGTTCTGCGAGCCAATAAGATACATCTATTGTTGTCAGTCGATGATAAGCATATGTACAGTGTGTTGTGAGTCAGTCACTGAATGGTTTATCAACCCTGTAGCCTTATTCTGAGCGATATGTTACATATTACATTGGCCAAAATAGTCATTGGCATATTTATAAAGTTTTATCTCAAAATCAATTTTTGCCATGATGCAATCATTCTTGTGCATTAAACAACCTTGTTTACAACATGTCAGTTAGATATTGTGAATCCACTGCAAATTACTTTAACTCATTCCCCCCTGAAGATACATTTGAACTCCTCCAATTCAAAGGTTGAAATTAAAGTTCCATTATGAAATTTCAGGGGTGAATGAGTTGAGTAGCTCTCCTTTGTAGGGTACCTTGGCCAAATGCAGGTAGTCCAATTAACCAGGTGATAAAATGAAGTTGTTGTGTACGACCTTGAAGGATACGTTGTGACCTTCAGGACTTATTAATTGACCTTTATAGTAATTTCACACAAGATCCAGGTATAAACCAATGGAGTTAATTGAAATTTAGGATTGAGTAATGCTTTGGTCAATCATTTATGGTGATAAATCAAGTTGATCTTGAGACACATCAACAATAAACCATTTTACATTTCATTTCGTCCCAAGACAAGCATTTCATGATCACTACCCAATTGTAATAGACATAAACAAGATTTATACTTAAATGATCTGTTTGAAATTAACAGCAAGGAATGTGTCTTGCTTTTATAGCAGTTAACATTGAATATACTTCTATTATAAGTCTTAAAAACAACAAAGGTATACCACTTGGGTGTACTGTGTACAATCTCAGGGTTGAGTGAAGCTGAACAAACACGGGGACGGGTGATTAAGCGTACGACAGCTAGATGTGTCGAACTACTTCCTGACCGGTTGTGATTTGTCATTTTGACCTCCTGGTTTTATTTTTGATCAGCAATTTATACTCCAATACACATGACTTACTTGTCAAGGAGCATTTCATGTTGAGTCTGTGTGTCTTTAAAATCGTATTTGATCTACTTTGATTTGGAAATTTTCAGGTGCTGCATGTTTCTAAATGAGTTTATGATGTGACAGAGTCATAAATCATGATTCACACACCTATATTGGTATCTACGTATACCTGATCACTTGCCAAAATATATGGTTCCCAGTTTCCACTTGATGGGTGCGAGTTGTAATCAGATCTGTTCAATTTTGTTATCAAACTATATGTGTTGACATTGTATAGTAAAAATTTGGTCAAACCGTATTGCTCTTGTCAATTTGTACTTATCATATAACCTGTCTGATCGGACGTGGTGTTTATTACTCATTTACCCCTGAACACACATGTGAACTCTTCCAATTGAAAGGTTGGAATAGTCCATTATGAAATTTCAGGGGTGAATGAGTCAAGTTATGGTGTGTCTAACCTGTAAAATTCGGACCCTGTCTACTCAGGAAGTTGTCATGCTCCACTGATTTTTTTAAATATATTCCAGCCTTTCAATTTTCTATGGTTGACTGTCCCTGCAAAAGAGCTTTCCCAGGCTGGATGTTAAATATGTGATCTGTTAATTTTCATTCTAAAATATCAATAATTAAGCATCAATTCTGGATATTTTCTTTTATTACTATTCTTATGTCAGTGGTATATTTCAATTCATTAAATAAAAGGCCAGACAAAAAAATATATGATTCCTGTAGCATGTATGAAAATTTCAGGGTGGGTACATTTTTAGGGTATTTTGACAATTTTGAACACTAGTTTTAATTAGAAATGAAAAAGAATAATTGAATATCAAACTTCAACTAATAGGTAAATGATATGCTAAGTTTTGTTTTTTGCCCTGAATATATGTAAAAGGAATTTTTTGTATGTTTATTTGAAGACCACAAGTCAATTTAAATTCTGTGGATATCTATTTTTTGTTTTCAGTGTTAATAATTGTGAAAATATCAGCAGTAAAAATGTTTACCTAACATATCATTAATAACCTAACAAGCTTGATATATTGGAGTCCAGAGCTACTGGTTGGTTCCAAAAGGTTGTTATACTGAATTTTTCAGTCCAAAAGGGGTGGGGGGTTAGTTCGACTTTAATTGTTTAGTCTCCGGGGGCAGTAAAGACTGAATTGTTCAGACCTAGGGGGAGTTAGACTGAATTGTTCAGTCCCAGGGGGAGTTAGACTGAATTGTTCAGTCAAGATTTCACACAAGATCCAGGTATCAACCAATGGAGTTAATTGAAATTTAGGATTGAGTAATGCTTTGGTCAATCATTTATGGTGATAAATCAAGTTGATCTTGAGACACATCAACAATAAACCATTTTACATTTCATTTCGTCCCAAGACAAGCATTTCATGATCACTACCCAATTGTAATAGACATAAACAAGATTTATACTTAAATGATCTGTTTGAAATTAACAACAAGGAATGTGTCTTGCTTTTATAGCAGTTAACATTGAATATACTTATATTATAAGTCTTAAAAACAACAAAGGTATACCACTTGGGTGTACTGTGTACAATCTAAGGGTTGAGTGAAGCTGAACAAACACGGGGACGGGTGATTAAGCGTACGACAGCTAGATGTGTCGAACTACTTCCTGACCGGTTGTGATTTGTCATTTTGACCTCCTGGTTTTATTTTTGATCAGCAATTTATACTCCAATACACATGACTTACTTGTCAAGGAGCATTTCATGTTGAGTCTGTGTGTCTTTAAAATCGTATTTGATCTACTTTGATTTGGAAATTTTCAGGTGCTGCATGTTTCTAAATGAGTTTATGATGTGACAGAGTCATAAATCATGATTCACCCACCTATATTGGTATCTACGTATACCTGATCACTTGCCAAAATATATGGTTCGCGGTTTCCACTTGATTGGTGCGAGTTGTAATCAGAGCTGTTCAATTTTGTTATCAAACTATATGTGTTGACATTGTATAGTAAAAATTTGGTCAAACCGTATTGCTCTTGTCAATTTGTACTTATCATATAACCTGTCAGATCGGACGTGGTGTTTATTACTCATTTACCCCTGAACACACATGTGAACTCTTCCAGTTGGATTTGCATTGTGTTATTTGTATTAATTACGTCTTCCAATTCTGTTTTACAGTCACAAGATGTTTTACTTGGATGAGCAGACGCAGTCCTACATCATCTTCTTTATCGCGATCCTGTGTACTGTCGGCTACTGTGTCATGGTGTTCTGTATGCTGGTGTCGATCATCACAACGTAAGTCTAACACAGCCTACTATTGAAATTATTATCAGATTAATTGCGAATTGCTTTTACTTGATTCTCAAATTATTACCCTATATATCCATGTATAATACTGCTACTTTTCTCTAGGTAGTCTATCATAAGTATTATCATTCGAACACATCATACTTTCTATCCTGTCGAGTATCTTATTGTTATTATCCTTGAAATAATAAAATTATTTCCCTTGTCATCCACTCGCACTACCAATTATCTCCCTTGTTATATCTGTTCCTTTTACAAATTTTCCCTCCTGTTTTCTTCATACTATCTGATCATGCTACAAATTATCTCCCTTGTTATATCTGCTCATGCTACAAATTATCTCCCTTGATATATCTCCTCAAGCTACAAATTATCTCCCTTGTTATATCTGCTCATGCTACAAATTATCTCCCTTGGTATATCTTCTCATGCCACAAATTATCTCCCTTGTTTTCTTCATACATAAAAAAATATCTCCCTTGTCATCCTCTAGCAATTAAAATGATTTCTGTATTAGGTCTGTGCTCTCCATGAATTATCTCCCTTGTTACCACAAATTATTCCCCTTGTATTTCCTCACCATTTTTTCATCCTTGTTAAATATTGATGTGCCTTAATTTAGACTCAGCAGTCCTAAATATTTAGTTGACCATGTACTAAAGTCATGAAAGACTAGCCCAACATTGAGATTGTATAGGGGTTTGTCTTATAGACATTTCAGATAATATAGGTGGGAACTTGTTTTTGTGTTGACACGTTGGATAAGGGACACATTTATGTCACTGAGCATGTGCTTTGGAGAAAGGATGTCCTATTGCCTTTTAACATATCAAAAAACTTGATGTTCTTGCTGATTTTTGGTGATTTTTGTATCATTGGATTAACAATAACACATATTTAGGCTGATTTTACTTTTAACAAGATTTTTAGCTATCCTGGTTGTCCTATGGCAGGAAAGACCAAAATATATTTGTTGATTTATTTTTTTATCCAATCAAACACTAATATCAACATTTTACTGCAATTAATATAAAAGTCTACGCTTGTTTGTAAAGGGTTTAACGCTGTTGCCTCCTTGCAATGATAATTTTTTTTTATATAAAAGAGGCGTTTTGCTGTTGAAAACTAGCTTTAATAAGGAGGCATTAATCCAGATGTCCAATGGATTTGTTTTGTAATTTCAAGGTTGACATGGAAAGTGAATTCCAAAAGGTTAGATGAATGTTTTATTTCGAAAGAAGAGTGATGTTCTAATCCTGTTTATTTTCTGAATCATGTTGCAACTTTTTAAGCTTAAAGCTTTCACACATGTGTGGAGAGTTGTTTACTGTGCCGAGTCCTCAGGTCAGAACATGGTGGTAGAAATATGGAGTTTTTCAGAGATATGATATATAATAATTCAAAAATTGCATTTATAGGTTCTTTGGCTGCTTTAACTCATCCACCCCCGAAATTTCAATAGAACTATTCCAACCTTTGAATTGGAAGAGTTCAAATGTGTCTTCAGGGATGAATGAGTTAAAGGCCTTTTAAAAGTTTTATCTTTCTTTAAAAGTTAGTTCTAGATTACAATTGCTTAATTGTCATAAGTAATGTCTTTAAACACAAGGTTATTTATCTATAGAAGATCAATATATTCTTCAGATAAAACTGTCAAAATATCTTTCTCTTGAAAAAATACATCAACGAAGATGTTAATGGAGCATTAGGGATACCATTGAGTACTTAATGTTTTATTACAAAGAAAGCGAATATTTTAACCAGCATTACATACAGAGACTATTTGAAAACACTTTGGAGATTGAAGATAAGTCTGTTGGGTGATTATTTACTATCCAATGTAAATTTCACAGGGTCGAGGAGATAATGTGTTATGGTTAGAGGTTTTATAAAGGTTAGACCAGTATATAGTAATAATTAAGTTTAAGGATCCCTGCCCCACTGTGCTGTCATTTTTCCTATACACAGTAACCTCCCCTTAACTTCCATTTAATTATAACTGTAGCTCATTTGGGTTGGTTCACTTGGTTGACCAGGTTGCTCAATCGCTTAATTACATCGATAGTATAACAATCTGAAGTCCAGGGTTCGAATCCTAGTCCAGTCTCGCTGAACTTTTTATAATCGAAACAATCTTGTTGATTATATTTTGTTTATTTCATCCTCATTATTCTTCATAAATGCCCCACAAGGTAAAGTTTTCTTTTCAGAAATGATTTATCAAGGCTTAAGTCAAGTATACTTAGTTATAGCATCGGGCAGTGGTACAGGGAACCTTAAAGATTTTCTGCAGGGTCGGAGGGTATGTGTACTGAATACAATAGCAGTAAGGGTTATAATGTATCAAATCACTTATTTATTTTTTGTATAAATTCCAATTCGCAAGGAGAGGCTATTGCTAATTTAAAGCTCAAACAGTCCAACCTGTATAAAGAGACCACCCTTAGTAAGTCCAAAATATGGTTTCTTAAGGCAGTTGGATTCGTAATACACGTTCATATCACCATGAAATCACTACAATTGGGAACATTTAAAGTGGTCTCTTAACACAGGTGATATCTTCATACAGGTGGTCACTTAACACAGGTGACCTCTTAATACAGGTTCAATTCACAATGAAATCACTTCAGTTTGGTACATTAAAGTGGTCTCTTACTACAGATGATTGCATGAGCAGGTTTACTTTATCTGTTAATACACAATTTAACAAAGAACACATAGTGGTCATTTTCAGTTTTTGAATTCAAATCGTTGAAGATTTGTCTTTGTAAGAACTTTTGCAAAAGTAAGTGCTCACGAACAAGTGAGATTTACGTGGATGCTGTGTAAAAATCTTGTGTAGGGTTTCAGAAGGGAACTTTTGACTGGATGACCTGTCACGGTTCATCACGAAACCCGAGTATCCACATGACGATGCTTGCTATGGTGACCAATGTGTTCTTGCTGTTTTTCAGGTTTTGTTTGAGGAGGTATATAACACTTGCTATTTCCAGCTGTGTCCTGTGGTTGACTAACTGTACCTTATACACACTGTGGCTTTAATTGGTTTCTAATTGTTTATCTATCACATTTTAATCTGCTTAATTAAGCCTCTTGCCTTGTATGCATCTAATTACCATCACTTACCATGCAATTGGGCCAATCAGATGTGCTCTTACTAATCAATTACATCATGTTCGGAGAATTAAATTTTCTTTATCTGTGTGAAAACCTCGGTTAATTCTCTATGAGTAGGTTGGGTACAGAGAAACAGTCGTCAACAACCTATTTTGTTAATTCAACTTAAATTAAAAAAAAAAAAAAAAAAAAAAAGGGACATGTTATGACAGCTATGATGTACGTAAAATGTATTTAAGTTAGGAGATGGCTTAATTGAGTTGTAAGAACTTGTGCCAAATCCTTTTTGTCATTTTCAAGGCAATAAAAAATATGTTTAAACTAATCAATGACAGCCAATCACGTATCATTTTACTTAAATGTCAAGACAAAATATATTTAAACTAAAAAATTAGAAACATTTAATTCAAATTACCCTTGATCCCTTCAGACTATGCCAATTCATTTTATAAAAACAAATTTTAAAATGATGGTTAAAACTGTCACAGATTATTGAGGCAATTTTGGTCATCGCATAAGAGCAGGATTATGGGTAATGTTTATATTCATTTTAACAATGAGAAGGGAAAGTTTTGACGTGCAGCTTTAAAAGTGGATCAGTTTTTAAATTGAAAGAATTAAATAAGACGAAATCAATTGTATAGTATGAAATTTTAAAGATTCGTCAAGAAGTTTTTAATTTAAATAACAAAATAATCAAATTTAATAATAAAGTTATTAGCTAATTGTAACAACAGTTATATATAATAGTACTCAGCGTACAGTAAACACATTTGAAGATGAAAATCTTCAGTCTTGCAAACATGGGGTTGTGATGTATTTTTCAAGTTTATTGGTGTTTTTTTTGCCACAATGCTAGGAAAGAAAGAAAAAAGGAAAGAAGAAAAAACCATTTGATATTTAGCATGATTCAGATTGTACAATTTAAATATTTTCACTTTTTCACATTTTTTTCAGTTTGTTAATGTAAGCTTTGCCTGCTTCAGATATTTTTGTTCACTTTACACAGAAATTTATTAATAATATTGAAATACAATAGTATGCATGAAATCTGGTGGGTTGAAATGTCTGTGGTGGTTTCATTAAAAGCTGTCCTGGATATCAATATTGGTTACGGTTTGTACATGTACAAACAGAGCTAGCTTTTAGTTATGATTCATTTTCACCAAATGTAATTAATGAATGGCATGGGCTCCTGTTCAGAGTCACACTGTGTAGTATGACAGTACAGCATTTCACAAATAGCAAATTCATATTTCCAATCATATTTTACTTTGGCCATTGGCGCCAATGGTGCTTTACAGCCTTAGGCCTGACACAATGTTATGTTTCATACACCTCAGAAATTTGTTGTTTTTCCCTGAAGATTATATTTTAAATCACAACCTCATTGGCATTGATGCTGAAAAAATGTTTTTGAAAACAATTGCTATAATTTTCATGCACATCTATGCTACTAACACCCATTATTAGTTTCTCAAAATCAAAGCTTTTTATTCACAGTTATCTCCCCTGGGAGAGTTCTCCTTGCCGTGTATTGTTACCGCTTTCTTCATTTAAATTTAAGATACCACAATAAATACAGATACTTGAAGCTGTATCTCTTCCCATTATATATTTTTAACAGAATATTATTGTTAAAAAGAAGTTTGACAATATTTTTGTTAGAAAAAATTTGGACAATATAATAATGTTTTTGCTGTATCATGATATTATATATTGGTGTTATATTGTAAGTAATAATGAGGGGGCATTACTGTATTCAAGTTCATAATATTCCTGGGGTATTTAAGGTCATAAGAGATTATGCAAAATTAAATACCCAGCAAATATTATCATAATGAACTATAATCTCTGTGAATATATACAAGCACACAAATACATCAACATACTTACCCATTAACAGCCCAAAAACTCTGTCAACAAGCTTCAACCAGTTGTCCATAGTGAAACTGTGGCAGTGTTGATACCAATTTAATGTCAAACCCTACGTATACCCTACCAGGGTTGTTACAGCACATGTCAAGCCCTTCGTATACCCTACCAGGGTTGTTACAGGACATGTCAAACCCTACGTATACCCTGCCAGGGTTGTTACAGCACATGTCAAGCCCTACGTATGCCCTACCAGGATTGTTACAGGACATGTCAAACCCTACGTATTCCCTACCAGGGTTGTTACAGCACATGGCAAACCCTACGTATACCCTACCAGGGTTGTTAAAGGACATGTCAAACCCTACGTATACCCTACCAGGATTGTTACAGGACATGTCAAACCCTACGTATACCCTGCCAGGGTTGTTACAGCACATGTCAAGCCCTACTTATACCCTACCAGGATTGTTACAGGACATGTCAAACCCTACGTATACCCTGCCAGGGTTGTTACAGCACATGTCAAGCCCTACTTATACCCTACCAGGATTGTTACAGGACATGTCAAACCCTACGTATTCCCTACCAGGGTTGTTACAGTACATGTCAAACCCTACGTATACCCTACCAGGATTGTTACAGCACATGTCAAACCCTACGTATACCCTCCCAGGGTTGTTACAGCACATGTCAAACCCTACTTATACCCTACCAGGGTTGTTACAGCACATGTCAAACCCTACGTATACCCTACCAGGGTTGTTACAGCACATGAAGTATCACATTCTGATCAACAAGCTCTCATGGTAAGGTATACAAAATTCATCCGTAAATTTGTCATGTCCATGACTCTAGGACTTTTCAGTGCCTTTTATAATTATTTACCCAAAGGGGACGAATGATAAGGGAAAAGCCAGTAACCACGAAATTTTGACCTGAGGCAATGTTGAACGATTTTAGACTCCTGTGAAATAGTTCTGACCATGATGACTGCAAACTAAACAACTATACAGTGTATCAATGTTTTACTGTATAGTGATAAATTCTTGGGAAGTTTTGTGTCGACTTGAATTTAAGTATTATTCATATTCAAAATGATTTTCAACATCGTCAAAAGATACATCTTTTCAAAATTAATCCTCACCGAAATGAAAACTCACAAAAATACTCACAAAATCAATACTTGCCAAAATAGATACTCACAAAATGAATACTCTATCAATATAGAAAATCACAAAAATACTCACAAAATTAATACTTGCAAAAATAGATCGGCACAATATTAATTCCTTTCTGTATAGAAACTCACGAAATACTCACAAAATTAATACTTGCCAAAATAGATCCTCCCCAAAATATACATCAAAGTCAATTATCCTAAAATAAAAAATCCCAAAATTGATACTTGTACTCGCCAATATTAATAAATATTCACAAAATTCCAACTCACAACATATTGACCAAAACAAATAACCCATCTAAATAGATACTGATCATAGCAAACATTTACCAGAATTAGCTGATTAGCTGATATTTAAATGTTCATATTGAAAATAATGTTACACAAAAACAACTGTAAAAAAATAAGTGGATGGAAAAACAGGAAATATTTATCAAATTTAAAATTCTGAAAGTCGTCTGAGGGTTGTGGTTTATTGTTAGTCCAAATTGTTATGTTTAAAGAAAATTCAAAAAGTTATCCAGCATTTCCTATTGTTAACTGGCACAGGACTACCAATCTTGTAAACCACATTATATTAGGTGATGTTTTTATTTTGATAGTAAATCATGAGAAGATTCAATCTTTGGGCAAACATTGAATTGTTATTAATTCAAGCAAAATATTTTCTGTTGTTGTAATAAGCCCACCGATATTTACTGCAGTTCAGTAACTATGCTAACAATTGCTATTTTATTGTCCTATAGTACATACAACCCTGTCTACTTCACAGCGTAGTGGGGTCCTGGGTGTATTGCAGGATAAATATGATTTGAGTTTAAAGAACAACTGTGAAAATAAATACTCACTAAAATAAACACTTAATACTCAACAAAATGTAATGATTTACAGTTATTAAAAAAAATGTTTTTCAGATATTGAGATTTCTGGGTTCCAAAGTATACAGGATTTCCTGATAGATATTTAGCCCTTTCACCCCTATATAACTTTGATTAATGAACTCTACCATGCATTGATCTGGATAAGTCCATTATGGTCTACAGTAGTGAAAGGGTCAAAATGAGTAAATATCAAATAAAACCTGTTTATTCTATTTAACAAAAATGTCAAAATATGTTGTGTTTTACAGGCGGATCTTGTTCCACAAGAAATCGGACAGTTTCCTGTCAACAGACAGCTACCCTGGTGTGTCCATCATCAAACCTCTTATGGGCCTAGATCCACTTTTGGAAGAAAACCTCGAAAGTCATTTTAGGATACAATATCCAAAGGTATTTCTACTGATATGACAGACGGAGAGGTCTTTAGAGAACAACTTTTCTGTTACTACAGTAGAACCTGTCTTTAGAGAACAACTTTTCTGTTACTATGGTAGAACCTGTCTTTAGAGAACAACTTTTCTGTTACTAAGGTAGAACCTGTCTTTAAAGAACAACTTTTCTGTTACTACAGTAGAACCTGTCTTTAGAGAACAACTTTTCTGTAACTATGGTAGAACCTGTCTTTAGAGACCATAACTTTTCTATTACTACGGTAGAACCTGTCTTTAGAGAACAACTTTTCTGTTACTACAGTAGAACCTGTCTTTAGAGAACAATTTTTCTGTTCCTACAGTAGAACCTGTCTTTAGAGACCACAACTTCTGTCTCAAGAGACCATCGTTCTATCACTACAAAACCTTTATGGAGCGACTCTCCCCTCTGGTAATTCGAGTAGAACCTGCCTTGAGAGCACACCCATTCTGTCACTGTTGTAAAACCTGTTTTTAGAGACCACCATTCTGTCATTGCAGAACCTTTTTCAAGAGATCACCCTGCTGTATTTGTAATAGAACCTGTATCAAGGGATGATCTCTTCAGTCACTACGGCAGAAGTTTTCTTGAGAGACCACCCTTCCTTCACTACAAAAGAACCTTTTTCAAGAGACAAGCCCTCTGTTATTTCATTAGAACCTGTCTAAAGGGACCATTCCTTCTGTCACTACAAAACCTTACTCGAGAAATGACCCCTCTGTCATTTCAGTAGAACCTGTTTAAAGGGACCATTCCTTCTATCACTAAAGTATAACCTGTCTTAAGGGATTATTCCTTTCGTCACTACAGTAGAACTCCTGTGTTCTGTCACTACAGTAGAACTAAGGCATTTTTCACTTAACCCTGATTCTTCCCAGGGTGAGTTCTAAATTTGACATTTATTGTCCCCTAACGTTTGACCCAAGGTGAGAATGATGGAACTGCCCTGGGAATTCAGTCTAACAGCTGTTGTCTGAAGCTGAGGAATGGGACTGTAGCCATCAAATAATGAATTCTTCATTGATCCAATCTGACCTCTGACCCCGGACATCAGACCTACATCAATGGCAGGGTCCAATTAAAGATCAATAGAATAGTAAAGATTTATAAATATTGAACACTGTTGTGATTCGCTGTGATGCAGACAGACTTTCACACTCGAGTATATCCATTAGCTGGGAATAGAAATCGCAACAGATGTCTACAAATAACCCCTTAACTCCACACCACATGCATTCTGATCTGAGAAAATAACATAAGTTTTATACCGTTTTGTATAGATGAGTGTACAATATTTTCCCTGAGCTTTTGTAGTACAGGTTTTGTTATTAGCTGCAGTATTGATTATGGTTTAAATGTCCCGACATGTCCATAGGCAAAGTCACCGCTGATCAGAGTCTGCTAAATGTCTGTTAACCCAGTATGACTGCACTCTGGCAGTATTCCATAAAATCAATCGCACTGGAATCGCACCAGGTGCTTTAACTTGATCTGTATTTAGTATAGACATTTAAATGATTAAATTGATTGTAAATTTCTTATTCTATTCTTACGACAAATATTTCAGTCGGTATTTAAACTAATAGATTATTCTTACCATTTCATTCTTACCGACAATCAAACCTCTAAATAATGCCCCTCATTCATTTACCACCTCGTTTACTGCCAACATACTTAATATTCAATGTTCCTTATTTAAGAACCCCTTTATGAAATTGTCACTGTGTCCCTCAGGTTATTGCCAAACACCTTTATAATGCCAAAATTTCTCTCTGCATATTGTGGCAGTATAACAAGATTTTAAGGTATTGCAAACTCTATTTCAGAAATCCTGATTATACTACATTTTGTACATAGATAGCTGTATTCTTTATACTAAAATTCCTTGTCGTATGAAAATACCATTGTACAAGGTTTTTCCTGAAGTTTTCCCATGGAAGGAGAAAATGGCGGCTTCACCTGACTAAATACATTCTTAATAATCACCAAAGTTGGCAGTAAGGTTTAGCCCTGCACTTGTTGTATCCTATAAAGATGGTCATTGAGCAATTTGTTTTCAATGAAAAAATGCTCTAAATATTTTTTTCATTGTCAGAGCTTTGATATTTATATCCTAGAATGACTTCAGGATATTTAACATCTCCTTAGGATCAGAAGCTAGAATGACTTCAGGATATTTAACATCTCCTTAGGATCAGAAGCTAGAGTGACTTCAGGATATTTAACATCTCCTTAGGATCAGAAGCTAGAGTGACTTCAGGATATTTAACATCTCCTTAGGATCAGAAGCTAGAGTGACTTCAGGATATTTAACATCTCCTTAGGATCAGAAGCTAGAGTGACTTCAGGATATTTAACATCTCCTTAGGATCAGAAGCTAGAGTGACTTCAGGATATTTAACATCTCCTTAGGATCAGAAGCTAGAGTGACTTCAGGATATTTAACATCTCCTTAGGATCAGAAGCTAGAGTGACTTCAGGATATTTAACATCTCCTTAGGATCAGAAGCTAGAGTGACTTCAGGATATTTAACATCTCCTTAGGATCAGAAGCTAGAGTGACTTCAGGATATTTAACATCTCCTTAGGATCAGAAGCTAGAGTGACTTCAGGATATTTAACATCTCCTTAGGATCAGAAGCTAGAGTGACTTCAGGATATTTAACATCTCCTTAGGATCAGAAGCTAGAGTGACTTCAGGATATTTAACATCTCCTTAGGATCAGAAGCTAGAGTGACTTCAGGATATTTAACATCTCCTTAGGATCAGAAGCTAGAGTGACTTCAGGATATTTAACATCTCCTTAGGATCAGAAGCTAGAGTGACTTCAGGATATTTAACATCTCCTTAGGATCAGAAGCTAGAGTGACTTCAGGATATTTAACATCTCCTTAGGATCAGAAGCTAGAGTGACTTCAGGATATTTAACATCTCCTTAGGATCAGAAGCTAGAGTGACTTCAGGATATTTAACATCTCCTTAGGATCAGAAGCTAGAGTGACTTCAGGATATTTAACATCTCCTTAGGATCAGAAGCTAGAGTGACTTCAGGATATTTAACATCTCCTTAGGATCAGAAGCTAGAGTGACTTCAGGATATTTAACATCTCCTTAGGATCAGAAGCTAGAGTGACTTCAGGATATTTAACATCTCCTTAGGATCAGAAGCTAGAGTGACTTCAGGATATTTAACATCTCCTTAGGATCAGAAGCTAGAGTGACTTCAGGATATTTAACATCTCCTTAGGATCAGAAGCTAGAGTGACTTCAGGATATTTAACATCTCCTTAGGATCAGAAGCTAGAGTGACTTCAGGATATTTAACATCACCTTAGGATCAGAAGCTAGAGTAAGATCTGTTAGGTGTATATTTGTGGATACCGGAAAATAACACTGCAATAGTATGATCACCACTGCCATTACAATAATTTCATTTTCAGAATTTATCATTTATAATAATAATAATATACAGCATTTGATATAGCATCCTATCTAGCTAACATAAGCTACCCTAAAGCACTTTACAGTACATAGATATACAATTAATAAAATTAGCATATACATTGAACCAATACAATTTTGAGGAATTCGCAGGAGCTGCCTTATCAGGCGCTAACTACTAGTCCTATGCCACCTGGCTAATATCCCTCTATGTGTGTATGCCTGCATGTGTGCTGGAGATGTAATGAAACATGAATTATATTGTTTAGTTGATCATTTCATTTCAGCACATGTTAAATTCATTTTGAGGTAGTGCTTGGTCTTGAAAAAATATTAAGAAATAAAATAAGGGGAAAAATAAAGAGATTTTCCTTATGTTGTTTTGGTTTTTAATTTCAGTTTGAGCTGTTATTTTGTTTTCCCGATGACCAGGATCCAGCCATAAATCTTGTAAAGCGACTTATAGAAAAATTTCCACATGTCGACGCAAAAATATTTACAGGTAAACTTTATTTGAGATGTTTGAGTAAGATAGACAATTATCCTTCTTTTTAACCCTGGAATGTTGCATGTTTACATTATAGTACAGTTGACATATTATTGAAACAATTCACATGGGTTATACCGCCATTGTTGTGACGTTTACTCTGCTGTCCAAGGTCAAGGTCATGATTAATTATTACAAATTTGAATATTTTTTTTATGTCTGGGCAATTAGATCTTAACAAGTAAATACATCTAAATGAAACTCCGCTATCACACATATTTGGCCTATAGCAAATATACTACAGTTTAAAAGCAGAAACTTTTTATCATAGCAAAGTTCTTGTCGCAAGGATTAAAGCTTCCCATTTCAAGAGGTCATAGGTCAAATCAAACTTATGAAGTTCCCATCCTATGTATTTAAAATCAATTATATATCTTTGACCACAAAGTGGAAATCACAAACATGACATACCAGATGTGTTACTTTAAATCAGATAATTTACTATTTGGAAATAAAAAATTAAATGTTTGGACTAACAGTTTGAAACTGTAGGCAATATTTTCATTGACTTTTCATCCAGTTCTTTTTATGTATTGAACAGGTGGAAAAGAGGGCATCGTGAACCCCATGGTATTCAACATGGCTCCTGGCTATGACAATGCCCAGTATGACTGTGTATGGATCTGCACCAGTCGTATCAAAGGTAATATTGCCTTATGTGTTAGACTTAACTTCAAATTGAGTTTCTGACATTCCTTATAGTCGTACTGTATATAACAGTTCAATGTAAGGACACTATTTAAATTATCCTCTTATCATTGATAGTTGTGTGCAGGCCATTGGAACCTTGCATATCTTGTTCCCCCCCCTCACACACATACTCACTTGCACAAAAAAAAGTATAATTTGTTGTCCATATTTCAAAATTCAGCATAAGGTTTTTGGATGACGCAACTATAAATGTCAAAGCATTATTTTCTGTAGTCAGATTTAAAATTAGAGGATGATGTCTTCTGGGCCTTTTGAAAATTATAGGTGCTGTATCATTGTATCACATTGTTTGTTGTCAGTACAGGTCCCTTAGGCCTCTTGTTTATAGAAGTTTGTCTGTAGTGCAGGCCAAATGGGCCTGTTGTTTACTGAGGCTTCACTCTTGTATTACATTGATTTACTTGTAGACAACAGAGGTTCCTTGAGTTTATAAAAGCCTTACCACTGTATTGCAAGTGTAAAGTTGTTTATAAACAGCACATGCCCATTGGACCTCTTCATTACGGAAGTCTTCCTGTTATATAACATTGTTTTTTGGTGCCAGCACATAGACCTATTGGGCCTCTTGTTTACCGAGGCTTACTGTAGTATTGTTTGTTTTTAGCCAATGCAGACCCATTTGGCCTCTTGTTTATCAAAGTCTTTTGTTTGTTTTTAGCCAATACAAACCCATTGGGCCTCTTGTTTACTGAAGCCTTACTGTAATATTGTTTGTTTGTAGCTAATACAGATATAATTGTTGACATGGCGTCCAAGTTACAACACCCAAGTGTAGCTCTTGTTCACCAGATGCCTTTTACCACCGATATTAGTGGATTTGCCGCGGCTGTAGAAAAGGTTGGCCCTATTAACTTTTCTTTCTCATATATGTTCTTATTCCTAATTAATATATTTTTTTTTAAATTGCTGTAATCCTTTATGAAAATCAAATATCAATACACATGTACTACAATAAGCTTTTTAATTTCGTATGTTCTCTGAGGTTCACTGGACATGTGTCACTGTAATTTCTTTTAATAATTTTCCAGGTTTCAAATAGACTAAAGTTTCATTTCATAAGTTTTCAGCTACCGATTTTACATATACATTAATTAATTAATCGGTATTGTTTTCGTAAAAATTCAAGCTAGAGTTACAAATCTGGATTTTGTTCATTATTACAGATTTACTTTGGGTGTGCTATGGCGAGGTTCTACCCAGCCTTCAATACTCTAGGGCTGTGCTGTTGTACTGGCATGTCCTATATGTTTAAAAAATCCCTCCTAGACGAGTTGAAGGGGCTCAATTATTATGGACGCTACCTCGCCGAAGATTTCTTTCTCACATCAGCATTACATGAAAAGTAAGTCTGTTTTTTTCAGTAAAAATCAACTATTAAAGCCCAAAACTTGAAATGGATAAGATACCAGATCGAAATTCTTGTTTATACAGACACTAAATTTCATTTAAGGATGTCATGTTATATCTGATAATGTATCTCCTTTTTAAAAGAGTTTCACACTAAAAAAACATATGATACCTGTTAGAATGACCTCCCTTTAACTATGTACAGTATTAAATGGAAGAAAAAATGAAAAGATTTTTAATCATTTGATTTGCTGGTATCCCTGTAAAAGCAGTTGGATAATCATAATTTTGTTATCTCGTTGGATTTGTAAATTAATGTTCAAAATCTATGTCTCGTAGTGGACACCTTGGATTTAATTTTAAAACTAGCTCTTATTTTTCCAGAGGTCATAAACTTGTACTATCAGCATACCCAGCACAACAAAATATAGCTTCTCTTACACTACGAGCTTTTAAAGACAGAATGGTCAGGTAAGTAATTTGTGGTCAGGTAGTGAATGGTCAAGTAGCTAAAGACAGAATGGTCAGGTTAGTCACTTGTGGTCAGAGAATGGTCAAATATAAAGTTAACGACAGAATGGTCAGGTAAGTAATTTGTGGTCAGGTAGTGAATGGTCTAGTAGCTAAAGACAGAATGGTCAGGTAAGTAATTTGTGGTCAGGTAGTGAATGGTCAAGTAGCTAAAGACAGAATGGTCAAGTAAGTAATTTGTGGCAAGGTAGTGTATGGTCAGGTAAGTAACTTGGGGTCAGTTAGTGAATGGTCAAGTAGCTAAAGACAGAATGGTCAGATAAGTAACTAGTGGTCAGTTAGAGAATGGTCAGGTAAGTAACTTGGGGTCAGTTAGTGAATGGTCAAGTAGCTAAAGACAGAATGGTCAGATAAGTAATGTGTGATTTATTATTTTCATATAATTTCAATAAATGTCGAAAAATGGGAGGGGTGCTTATTTACTGTTGAAGACAGTAATTATATATGTATATATACAGTAGTTATATAAGTTAATCAGATAAACTACTCCCATGAATTTCTGTCTAGGAGGACATACTTACCTATAAATGAGCAAGGAATATAACAGTTTAAGGTCTGTAAGTTAGTCATTGGCTTACAGGTCAAGTTTAATCTGTTAATCAGCTAGATTAATCACCTGTAGTAAAAATGTACATTTTTTGTGTGTCAGGTGGACCAGACTTCGCCTGAACATGATACCATTGGTAGCAGGTTTTCTAGAACCTCTATCTGATTGCGTTCCCTCTGGCCTTATTGGAGGATGGACCTTCTACCATTTCTTCGGAGTTCATATGTATTATTTTTTCCCTATCCACGTGTTGGCAATGCTGTGGGTGGATTATTTACAATTAAGGATGGTTCAGGTAAATTTTATAAACTCCACTTAATGCCACGATGTTTGATATCCCTTTATGGAAAGTATCATGGAATCATAAAACACCATTTATCGCTCTGTAGACACAATTTTGTCATACATCATAGAAATAGATATAATGCCTTAAGACTTAACTTGATATCATTCATGTTGGTGGTTAGTATCATATCATGGTACAAAAATATGCGATAAAGACTATTGATATCAAGTTCTCTTAATATCATGTGATATTGCCGTTTGCCCTAAGTATAAACTATAAAATGACCTATACAGACTCGATGTTATGGGAACATTGATACACTTTCTTGGTCCAGTGGTGACCACACTGCTGTTAAAAGATGTCTTTACTGTCCTAGATATGTATCGTTTTTATACAAATCACAAATTATAAGTGTAAGCTTAGTATACATCCTTAACTCTTACAAGAATCACAAGCATAATGTGTAAGGTATTGTACACCCTTAACTCTTACAAGAATCACAGGTATAATGTGTAAAGTAGTATACACCCTTTACTCTTACAAAAATAACAGGTATAATGTGTAAGGTAGCATACACCCTTAACTCTTTCAAAAATCACAGGTATAATGTTTAAAGTAGTATACACCCATAACTCTTACAAAAATCACAGGTATAATGTGTAAAGTAGTATACACCGTTAACTCTTACAAAAATCACAGGTATATTGTGTAAAGTAGTATACACCCATAACTCTTACAAAAATCACAGGTATAATGTGTAAGGTAGTATACACCCTTAACTCTTACAAAAATCACAGGTATAATGTGTAAGGTAGTATACACCCTTAACTCTTACAAAAATCACAGGTATAATGTGTAAAGTAGTATACACCCTTAACTCTTACAAAAATCACAGGTATAATGTGTAAAGTAGTATACACCCTTAACTCTTACAAAAATCACAGGTATAATGTGTAAAGTAGTATACACCCTTAACTCTTACAAAAATCACAGGTATAATGTGTAAAGTAGTATACACCCTTAACTCTTACAAAAATCACAGGTATAATGTGTAAAGTAGTATACACCCTTAACTCTTACAAAAATCACAGGTATAATGTGTAAAGTAGTATACACCCTTAACTCTTACAAAAATCACAGGTATAATGTGTAAGGTAGTATACACCCTTAACTCTTACAAAAATCACAGGTATAATGTGTAAAGTAGTATACACCCTTAACTCTTACAAAAATCACAGGTATAATGTGTAAAGTAGTATACACCCTTAACTCTTACAAAAATCACAGGTATAATGTGTAAAGTAGTATACACCCTTAACTCTTACAAAAATCACAGGTATAATGTGTAAAGTAGTATACACCCTTAACTCTTACAAAAATCACAGGTATAATGTGTAAAGTAGTATACACCCTTAACTCTTACAAAAATCACAGGTATAATGTGTAAAGTAGTATACACCCTTAACTCTTACAAAAATCACAGGTATAATGTGTAAAGTAGTATACACCCTTAACTCTTACAAAAATCACAGGTATAATGTGTAAAGTAGTATACACCCTTAACTCTTACAAAAATCACAGGTATAATGTGTAAAGTAGTATACACCCTTAACTCTTACAAAAATCACAGGTATAATGTGTAAAGTAGTATACACCCTTAACTCTTACAAAAATCACAGGTATAATGTGTAAAGTAGTATACACCCTTAACTCTTACAAAAATCACAGGTATAATGTGTAAGGTAGTTTACACCCTTAACTCTAACAAAAATCACAGACAAAAATTGAAAGGCAGCAAATTCTGAAGTACATGTGTAATTTCATTAATGCATTAATGTATCTGATATATTTTTAGCTCACCTGGCACGAAGGGCCAAGTGAGCTTATGCCATGGTGCAGCGTCAGTCGTTCGTCCGTCGTCCTGCGTCCGGCGTCCGGCGTCAATATTTTACTTTAAACAACTTCTTCTGAATAACCAAAATGCCCAGAGTGATGATTTTTGGATAGTAGCATGCTGTGATGAAAGGCTACCAAGTTTGTTCAAATGAATGACCTTCGTCCATTTTCAAGGTCACAGGGGTCAATTGTCTTAAAAAATCTTTATACAACTTCTTCTGAATAACTAAGAGGCCTAGGCTAATGATATTTGGCTAGTAACATGCTAGCGTGAAGGCATACCAGGTTTGTTCAAATGAATGACCGTTACTTATATTCAAGGTCACAGGGTCAAATATGTTAAACACCTTTAAACAACTTCTTCTCAATAACCAAAAGGCCTAGGATGATGCTATTTGGCCAGTAGCATGCTGTGATGAAGGGCTACCAAGTTTGTTCGAATGAATGACCTTGACTTATATTCAAGGTCACGGGTCAAATATGTTAAAAACCTTTAAACAACTTCTTCTCAATAACCGAAAGTCTTAGGATGATGATATTTGGCCAGTAGCATGCTGGGATAAAGGGCAACCAGGTTTATTCAAATGAATGACCTTTACATATATTCAAGGTCACAGGGGCCGATGATATTTGGTCATTAACAGGCTGGGATGAAGGGCTACCAATTTTGTCAAAATGAATGACCTTCGCCCATATTCAAGGTCACAGTGGTCAATATATGTTTAAATCTTTAAATGACTTGTTCTGTATAACCAATAGATCCAGGGTTATGATATTTTGCCAAAAGCATGCTTGGTTGGAAGACTTTAAACTCTGTTCAACCTAATGTCCTTTTTCTACATTCAAGGTCACAGGCGTCATATGTTTAAATCTTTTAATAGGCTCTTATGAGTCAAACACTGATATTCTTCCTGTAGCTGCATTTTAGTCCACTTTAAAGATTACAAGTGTGAGATTAATACCAGGTGAGCAATTCAGGCCCATTGGGTTCTTGTTAAAATAGCATACTATAAATTTATACAGCTTCTTCTGAACAACAAAGAGGCCAAGGCTAATGATATTTGGCCAGTAACATGCTAGAATGAAGGGCTACCAGGTTTGTTCAAATGAATGACCTTTACTTATATTCAAGGTCACAGGGGTCAAATATGTTAAAAACCTTTGAACAACTTCTCAATAACCAAAAGGCCTATGATGATGCTATTTGGCCAGTAGTATGCTGTGATGAAAGGCTACCAAGTTTGTTCAAATGAATGACCTTCGTCCATTTTCAAGGTCACAGGGGTCAATTGTCTTAAATCTTTATACAACTTCTTCTGAATAACAAAGAGGCCAAGGCTAATAATATTTGGCCAGTAACATGCTAGAATGAAGGGCTACCAGGTTTGTTCAAATGAATAACCTTTACTTATATTCAAGGTCACAGGGGTCAAATATGTTAAAAAACCTTTAAACAACTTCTTCTCAATAACCAAAAGGCCTATGATGATGCTATTTGGCCAGTAGTATGCTGTGATGAAAGGCTACCAAGTTTGTTCAAATGAATGACCTTCGTCCATTTTCAAGGTCACAGGGGTCAATTGTCTTAAAAATCTTTATACAACTTNGAAAAAATAGGTGCAGGCATGCAAAGGTTTTTTGTTTGTTTGTTTTTTGTTTTTGCAGAAATGGATGGAAATCAAAAAACAAATTGTGTATGTTTTAAAGAATTATTAATTTGTTCTTCTTTGATTTTCAGAATGGACCTCCACCATTTTCTAAGCTCAAATATGTGCTATATTGGGTATTCCGAGAACTGATGGCCACATTTATATATTTGGAAGCCATTTTAAAACCACGAACAATTCCGTGGGGCAAGAAAGTATTCAAGGTGACGCTGGGTGGACATACTACCCTTGTGACGGACAAGGCCCATGATTGACATAGGTATTCTCTAGGGATGAAATTTACTGCAATATGGATTTTAAAACTTGTCCTCCGTAAAATGATCTGACTTCTGTGCGTATCAGACTTTTGAAAAGTGCAGAAGGACCAAGATGCTGAGGTATCGCTGTGTTTGAATGTTGGAGTGAAATATTATCAGATCTGTGCTATTTTTACGTGTCAATGATCTATAGGATGATACACACGGACATCGCAACTTCAAGACAAAGCATTCCTAGAGAATACAACTGGCTGCTGATTCACCTGAGTGCTACCATAACACTGCTGTTTACAGATTACTCAGTTTCTAAAGAGCAAGCTCCCAGAATTTTCAACAGTCTACTTAGAGGTGCATTTCCACACTGAACTGCTGGAATTGTATTTCATGTTGAAGTTTTATACATATAACGACCTCGCCTGTATTACAAACATCTTTTCTGACTTATGTCCCTTCTTAACGACCTCACCTGTATCAGGAAAGTCAGGGACTTTTTAACAAGCTTAACTGTATCAGGAAATTCTAGTGTGATGTCTTGACGAACTCACCTGTACCAGGAAATTCTACTATTCTTCCTTAATGAGCTCACCTGTACCAGGAAATTCTACTGTTTTACTGTGTGGGTTGTATTATCAACCGATGTAATTCTACTGACAATCACATTCTACTGTGTGAGTGTTACCATCAACAGGGTGGTTTTACTAACGACCTCATTGTTATCTTAGATAGTAGATCAATACAACAATGCAAAACATGTTCAACTTGGTAAGGCATAAACCAAAATCACACACCTCAGTATTGCAGTGGGATGGTCTTTTGTTTGTATTGTTATGGTTCAGTCCATGTGAACGCAATAGGGAAGTCAAGCTACAAAGAATCTGCTGTTTATAGTAGCTGGTTTTACAACATCATTTTGTCAAAGATGGTACACTTTTTGTTGATATTGGTGTCTCCCAATTAGGAGTCGCTGTACTGCTTGTTCTGGCACCTTCCAAATGTACAGCCCCACCTGGAAAGCAGGGTAGACAACTCTGGCGATACAGATCTGTCACACTTTCATTCCTGTGGGAAAGAAATTCAGACATGTTAAGTGTAATGCAAGGTCATGTGTATAATATTAGAGCATTTAGTTTATTTAAACAAATTCTGGAGTTAGAATATATGAAGTATATAAATTATGATTTGTTGTGTTTATTTTTGTTAAGATATAGTACATATAATATGTAGTTGTTATGTAGCCATGTAGCATGTATTTAAGTTAAGGATGTATGCTATCATGTATGAATAATTATGTGTAAACAATTTTTTTCTTACATGTACACAAGACGCATATCTCCAGAGAGATCAATAATTCATTTAAGTTGAGAAGAAAAAGCAAAAAAGATATTTCAGTTTTTTCAAATGAGAAATCGCAAACTTCCCCTATTTGGCCTAAAATACACCATGATTAACAAGTAGTAGTGACACTTTATAAAATATGTTGATCAGTAGGAGAGCCTGGGCACAATCCAGATTAATTGACAGGTCACATGTATCTAACACATCAAAGTTTTGTACTGTATACAGTATTACATTAAAGTTTCGTACTGTATACAGTATTACATCAACCTTTTGTACTGTATACAGTATAACATCAACGTTTTGTACTGTACCGTATACAAAATCACATCAAAGTTTTGTACTGTATACAGTATTACATCAAAGTTTTGTACCGTACACAGTATTACATCAAAGTTTTGTACTGTATACAGTATTACACCAAACATAAGTACTGCATATATACTGTATGTATGACATCAAGCATAAATACAAATGGCTGTATGTTATGAAGTGTTTCAATTAATTGTGTTTGAAATTAAGAATTTTTTAAAGAATATAAATTATTGATACAATGGTATTTTTTTGTTTGCATTATCAGAAGAACTTTTTCATGTATACATATTTTTATGTTCCTACATTAGAAGCATACACCAGTTGAATGCCACATCTTCACATCTGTAGGGCTATTTGACTGAAATATATTTAACTATAATACTCTAAAATTTTGCTTCATGTAAATTTGTGGTGAACATTTTGATAGGAACACAATAGATATTTTATCTGCTGGCAGTGTTAACTGGACACTTGATTAACTGACATACATAATAGTGTGTATGGTTACATATGTGTGACATACATAATAGTGTGTATGGTTACGTATGTGTGACATACATAATAGTGTGTATGGTTACGTATGTGTGACATACATAATAGTGTGTATGGTTACGTATGTGTGACATACATAATAGTGTGTATGGTTACGTATGTGTGACATACATAATAGTGTGTATGGTTACGTATGTGTGACATACATAATAGTGTGTATGGTTACGTATGTGTGACATACATAATAGTGTGTATGGTTACGTATGTGTGACATACATAATAGTGTGTATGGTTACGTATGTGTGACATACATAATAGTGTGTATGGTTACGTATGTGTGACATACATAATAGTGTGTATGGTTACGTATGTGTGACATACATAATAGTGTGTATGGTTACGTATGTGTGACATACATAATAGTGTGTATGGTTACGTATGTGTGACATACATAATAGTGTGTATGGTTACGTATGTGTGACATACATAATAGTGTGTATGGTTACGTATGTGTGACATACATAATAGTGTGTATGGTTACGTATGTGTGACATACATAATAGTGTGTATGGTTACGTATGTGTGACATACATAATAGTGTGTATGGTTACGTATGTGTGACATACATAATAGTGTGTATGGTTACGTATGTGTTTGACTGGTGGTTTTTGTTGTTTGTTTTGTGTGGGGAAAATGTGATGAAGCTTATATTGTTATTTGTGATATTTGATATTATTGTGTGGCAATATTTTTATATAAGACAAGTTATCTATAGTCCCACTTTTTTATTCCTTTTACAGTTAACATTCCTTACATGGTAATACATTTATATACGTTACTAGTAACGATCATTGGTTAGCTACATTTATATACCAGGTACTTGTACTAGTAACACAACTACAGGTAGAAGTAACATGACCACAGGAACTAGTAACACAACTACAGGTGGAAGTAACATGACCACAGGAACTAGTAACACGACCAGAGGGACTAGTAACACAACCAGAGGGACTAGTAACACGACCAGAGGGACTAGAAACATGACCGGAGGTACTAGTAACATGACAACAGGTACTAGTAACACGACTACAGGAACTAGTAACATGACCAGGGACTAGTAACATGACCACAGGTACTAGTAACACAACCACAAGTTTCTGTTTCTGCCATATAATTGCCTTCTTCACCATGATGAAGATCATGCAATATTTATAACTGCCGTGTAGCAGTTACTAGTAACGATCAGTGGATAGCTAATTTATATACCAGATACTAGTTACACAACCACAGGTATAAGTAACACGACCAAAGGTACTAGTAACATGACCAGAAGAACTAGTAACACCACTACAGAAACTAGTAACACAACCACAGGTTGAAGCTACACAACCAAAGGTATCAGTAACACGACCACAGATACTAGTAACAATCAGTGGACGATTCAAGATAAGTATTACAGAAATCATTTGTATGATATAAAAGGGGGACAACTTTTGGTGAAATCATAGTTGTGATACACTAGGGAGTTACTCTCACGTAGGTCACACTAACAACAGTCACAGATATATACATAAGGGAGAGAACTCTTGGTGAAGTCCAGGTATGATACATATAAGGGAGGTAATTCTTGGTGAAGTCCAGGTATGATACATATAAGGGAGGTAACTCTTACAATGGTCACCGATATATACATAAGGGAGAGAACTCTTGGTGAAGTCCAGGTATGATACATATAAGGGAGGTAATTCTTGGTGAAGTCCAGGTATGATATATATAAGGGAGGTAACTCTTGGTGAAGTCCAGGTATGATATATATAAGGGAGGTAACTCTTGGTGAAGTCCAGGTATGATATATATATAAGGGAGGTAACTCTTACAATGGTCACCGATATGATATTACAATGGTTAAATAATCATGTAATTCAATTTTCCTGGTAGGGTACACACAAACCTGATTGTCTCTGAGATGTCCTGGATGTTGTCGACAAATAAATATCTATGATTCTTTTTTTTAAGGAATGCATTAATAGCAACAGATATGTGGCCCATGTATCAACATTGACATTGTGTAATTGACCATTTCATTATAAGATATATATTCTTGACATTCAAGTTTACTTTTCAAATTTCATGTTTTATACACTAAATGCTTAACAACTTTCCTATTAGAGTGTGAAATAGGCGTTTCAGGACTTTTTAATCTCCGAAAACAGATATGGTGCTCAGAGTCAACTAATAGCTGTGTGTATTGGCCCAGATTCTTCCCATCTAAATCATTTTCTCATTCATTGAAATTGAAAACATTAATATGGCTATATGGAGTAATATTCCAGGTGTAACAAAAATCTTATAGTGTCGCAGGACAGAAAGCCGACATTGACAAAATCATGAAAACTTTTAAACATCACAAGTTTTTAACAGAATTTTTTTATATTTTTACTATAACTAAATAATTTTCCAAAGTTGTCAAAATTAGTAAATAGCCACAAACTCATTGAATATTGCCATTTGTCATAAGATTGGAATCCAGTATTTTTACTGATTTCCTATTTTTATTGTGTGTGCTTTAAAAGGGAACTATTTTGTGAAGTTAAGTTGTATGACCAAACAATAGAGTTTGTATAACATATGCCACTGTTAAGCTGTATACACGAAGCAGTGTTTGTTTATGTATGGGTAGCGTGTTTTATGTAAATGAAATGGTTCAGTAAAAGCTAGCATTTCATGTTTGAAATCCATGTTTCTTTCCATTTCATATCATTCATGTTTCCTTTCTTTCATTTTGTATGACATTCATGCGTTAATTATTCTAATCTGTACATATTCTGAATATTAACTACCATATATAATTATTGTACACAAACTAATTTGAATTTTTGAAATTTGAATACCAAAAACTATTTTGATTTAAATAAGGAAAATTAATCAAACAATGTCTGATATTTTCTCCCTGTGTGTTCAAACCTTAATACTAAGTACTCCACAGAAAATATGCATAATACAATTGCTCAATTATTTAATTATCTGATGTATTGGTTATACGAGAGTATGGGTTTGTTATACAGACGTAGGGCCTTGATATACTGGAAGACGACATTGTTATGCAGTGGTGGGGCCCAGTTATACTGTAGTAGGGCCTCATTATGCAGTAGTGCAGCCTTGTAATAGTAGCAGGGCCTGGTTATACTGGAAGATGACGTTACAAGGCCCTGGTTATACTGAAAGATGACATTATCTAGTGGTTGGGGCCCAGTTATACTGTATTGGGACCTTGTAAAAGTGGCAGGGCCTGGCTATACTGGAAGATGAGGTTATTGGTGGGGCCCAGTTATACTGTAGTAGGGCCTTGTAATAGTGGCAGGGCCTGGTTATACTGCTGCAGGGCCTCTTTATACTGTTTTATACGGGAAGGGGTCTTGCAAAGCCTGGTTATACGGGAATGGGATCTGGTAATACTGATAAACCTTGACCAGTATATAGGGATCAGATCTAGTTATAAATGGTGTTGTCTGCTGATTCATTGGTGGGGCCAGGAAATACAGGGTTGGAATGTTAAAGTTATACATAAATGGGGCCTGATTATCCTACACAGGGCAAAATTTATCATTAGTTTCTAGCATTTGTCCGTTGCTCTACTACTTGCAAATTATATAAGTCTTTGCCAAGCAGTTCTTCTATATTAAGATATATATAGAACTAATACAATGAAAACGTTAGAGCAAAGAAATAATTAAAATGAATAAATTTATTATGTAATTATTTGTGTAAAAATAAAACAGTATTAGTCATTACTTCTCTCTGTATATCAAAGAAAACATCAGGCATAATAAAAATTGCTAGACCCTTATATATGACTCGTTCCCCCCACCTCCTACTTCTTACAACTGACCACAACCCCCCCCNCGTGAACTGTATTTAAGACATTGCTACAATTAAATATTGTGGCTTTTTAAAGGAACGTTTTCTATTCTCCAGATAGTAAGTTTATTCTGTGAAGCAGTCGTAATTTTAGCTGAAAATAGGTGTTTTTTTGGTTTGTTTGTGTGGTTTGGTGTCTTTTAAAGATATTGTAACTTTGAGTTGTTTCCTGTGGACTGTAATCATTGTACGTGTGTAGTCCTGATGAATAGTTGTACCCAACTGTCTGTGTTGTAAAAATGACTGAATTTAGATTAATGGACTGTTTCTGGTAATGGAATTTTATAAGAATAGTGAATAAGAAATAGGATCTGAACAAGATTATGATTATTTGATAAAATAGAAATCACCAATGCCAAATCTAGATAGCTGTTATATTCCCTTTAAACAGTATAATGGCAGTATCCAATACAAATGCATGCTGGGAACAGTGTGTTCATTAAGCGGTAGATCAATATTTACGAAACATAAATTAGTAAGAACTGGATATAGCCTCCCTGTCTGTGTGCAGACCACACAAATTCTATCTGTGTGTAGACCACACAAATTCTATCTGTGTGCAAAACACAAAATATATCTGTGCAAAACACACAAATTATATCTGTGCAAAACACACAAATTATATCTGTGTGCAGACCACACAAATTATATCTGTGTGCAGACCACACAAAATTATATCTGTGTGCAGACCACACAAAATTCATATTATGATAAAATCTTCCTCGATCTGTGTGCAGACCACACAAACTATATCTGTGTGCAGACCACACAAACTATATCTGACCTGGGCTAGATATTAACAACGACTGCTATGAACAGCTTTGGCAGTGATTTTAACCAGTAGGAATACCAACTTGAACTAGTTTTAAATAACATACTACCTCCTTTTAGTTTTCGGATGGGGTGGAGATAGACTATCTCTGCCACACACAAACTTTATAAGGAGATAAAATGTAGTTATTTCGAAATAAACTGGAACATGCTTCATGTTGAAAGGTCTGTTTTATAATTTTATGACCTTATCAAATGCAAATTGAAAGCTGAGATTCAAGTGCTTATATCTAGGTTTTTAATTTTTTAATTTTTAAACACAATTATTTTCTAGACAGAGTAGCCATTTTGCTGCAAGGAATTATATGATCAATAACTGACACAATGATGACAAAGATATCAATGATCAGACCATGGCATTCATAGCGTAACCAACGCCCCATGAATTTGGTAAGATTATGTAATGGCAGTCTCATTCATTGATAAATATCAACATGGAGAATATATGGAAACAAAAAATATTACAGATATTGCTAAAAACTCTGCTGTTTTGAAGCTTTTGTAAGTAAATCTGTCATGTCATCAGCTCTGTAATATATATATTTAGCTGCAGGAGGCTTTGTAAAGTGTTTCAACAAAAGTCAATTATACCAACAAGTGTCCAGCATTGTGTTTATATTAGGTACTAAGCTCTGCACAGTGCTTCGGACTGTACAGACGTTTTCATGGTGTTGGGAAAAGTTAACAAATTAAATGAATCTATTGTCTGAAAAATTAAGAGATTTAGAAACAAACTACAACAACCAGAAATGCAATATTTACGTCTTATGATCTCCTAATGTGTTTCGATATTGAGAATTCATATTATGATAAAATCTTCTTCGATTCATAGGTGTCTTTATCAGTCTAATTTTGGTGTTGCTAGAATGAAATGTTCGACCAAAAATGTGTAATGCCCCCTTTGGTGTTTTAGGAGCGCTTGGAAACCTGTTATCAAAGCTGTGAGAGTATTGTTTCGCCAAAGCAAATTTATATATTTTCAATAATTTGCAAGTTTAAAGTGCAACTATGGAAGGAAAAAAAAGCTTTTGTTTATCGTTATGGAAATAATGCTAGATAATCTACCATATTGAACAGACCTACCTCAGAAGTCAAAATTATTATATAAATGCATGTTTATAAATATATTTCAAATGTAGCATGCCATGTTCCCTTTTGTGATTTAAATGATTTAAACTTTGTGAATAGCTTAGGCAGAGATAGTATAAGTTATTCAATACGTAGCAAGCATAGATTATATAATCCCATGTATATTTTTGTTTGTTAAATTTATTAGAATGATGAAAAAGTTGGCATGCGACTTTATCAGTAGTTGTTTTAAAATTTAGACGTGGTAGTTAGAGTAAACTTCTTATACCATTAACTCATTCACCCCTGAAATTTCATAATGAACTATTCCAACCTTTGACTGGAAGAGTTGAAATGTTTATTCAGGGGTGAATGAGTTAAAACGAGAAATTTTCCAAATTTTAAAGATAGGGTACTAACTTGTTTATTGTTTGTTGTCCATAATTTTTTCCTCTCTAACTTGGCCAAAAGAACCCAATGCGTTGTGTCATCGCAGTGTTTGGCATTTGTCCGTCCATCGGTAGACCTTTTTCAAATGTTCAACTTCTTCAGAGAATTGCTGGATGAAATTGATTGAATCTGGAACATGTCATATTAAGTCTGAAAGGACTGTTCTATCTTCAAGACTTTGAGTTTTTTCACAAGTGCCTTGGACAGAAAACATTCATTGAGCCATATTTTCTGACTGATCAATCATTTCGAGAGTATATTTTTAACGTAGTGATTAAGGAGTTACGCAGGGTATGTGTGTTGTATCGTCCTATGTAATCATTTCAGGGAGAACCTTTTGAACTCAAGTTATAAAGTTTTGTTGGGAAACCACAGATAAACAGGTTAATAGTTTTGTTTAAGGGTGTATCCTACCTTACTGAATTAAATCTCCTTTCAAATGAGTTTCACACTAATTGATTTATAAATATTTGACAAGTTCAACAAATGTGTGAATTACCTCGGGACTGTTAAGCCAGCATTAAGCTACATATTCAATCTTTCTCCAGATAAGGGTTGATGTCCAAAATCTGTTACTCATTTTGTTAAGTTTTTGCATCATTTATTATATTTGTGTACAAAGCTACTTGTTTTGGAGTACCATATTTTTCCCGCAGTAAGCCCAGGACTCCCGACTAAAATTAAGAATGGGCTTATTACAGGACAGTTGATGTTGGTCGGCAGATTAGCAAGAACGAGCTTATTGTTGGATAAATATGGTATAATTTATGTTCATAATTGTAAGTTGAAAGTTCCATAAAATATATTAAATTGTTTATAATTATAAGACAATCTAACTAGCAGAGGGGCATGTACACTTGTTATAATAGTTGGACAATCTCACACAGGGGCTTGTACACCTTACTTTAATTTTTAATCTTATTTATATTATGTATTTTTTATAACTTAGGTCTCCCTGATGATACTATCCTAGAGCCAGAGAGGATTCTACTATTTGGTTCTAGTCATAATGTAAGAATTTCTCCCTTGATTGTGAAAAACGGTGCAACACTTTCAAAGCGAAATCTGACCGATGCACCTTATGTTACTACTGCTGAGAGATTCCATCAGCATCCGTCACGTCGTCATTGTAGAGTACATATAAGTGTATAAACATACCAATGAAAGGCATTTTGTTTATGTATAATTTGAGACATGATAGATGTATTTATTTGAAATTCTACAAGGTATAGCTGTATGTAGTACATTTATATGTTGAATCTGAAAATATATATATATATTCTTAATTGTCCCAATATTTGTGTATATTGTTTGATAATCTTGTGAAAGCTGGTGATATCATGATCGACATTCTATTAAGTACCTGTATGTTATAACGGCACTTACATATATATATATATATATATATAGTTGTCATAGCGACTAAGTTATTTTACTTCACTCATATCATGTATCAAACTTTCCATCCTTCAGATTGTATTCATTCATCCTTGTACTGTATTCCAGTATGTCAAAGGCTTTTGTATGAACATGGCAGGAAAAAATAAAGAAATATTAAACTGATATTAATTTGTTTTATTTTGTTGTAGAATTTTTTTTCAAAGTATTGCAAGTAGAAATAATTAATTCAGTACAAAAACAACCGCATGAATCTAGGTATCTGTGAGGCTTTGGTTTGTGTCAGATGAACACAAAATGAAGGTTTTGGGTATCCTCATCAGGAGAAACCAAAGCTTTAACTCTGCAAGGTCATTTGTTTTTAGGTCATCATCCATACACATGCAACAAAGCAAAATGCTATTTTTAACAAGTGACCTTGACCTTAAGCCTAGAATTTTGAAATTCGAACTCATTCAAACTATCTTGGTACTGAACTCCTATATGTAGTCTCATTGGAATCGGATTGAAAATGAAGATTGTTAAACAATGCTTATTGATTCATCTATTTTTAGTAACAGTGACCATGACCTTGAGGCCAGAATGTTGAAATTCAAACATGTTCCAGATATATTGGTACTGAACCACTACATGAAATTTCGTTTGTATTGGATTGAAAATGAAGGTTGTAGAGCGATGACGAAGACGCCCACCAACTTATATCTACGTTGAGATGTTTTATATCTTGTAAAATTAAGAAAAAATATTTTGATGAAGATAATCAGTTCACAGATTCATATAGGACTGTGATTCTGGGAATAGTTGTGTCGGCTTGTTGCCTTCCTACCAGTAGTACAATTATAGTGGTATACTATCAATTAAAAGGATTCTCTCATTATTACTGTATTTTGTGGTAATTGCCAACCTTTTGAAATTTCTATGGGAGAGATTCTGCATGCTCAAAATTAAAATCATAAATTAAATGTGTGAATATTACCCCATAGACACAAAAGAGCATTTCAAAAGACAATTTTCAGTTGTTCTTTCAGATGAAATAATTAGATTTTAGAACATATAGGAATTATTTAGCAAATTCACTAGTTGGAAATGTTAAATTTAAGGGTCCAAAATCAGGAATTTCCCTCAAAAATAGGGAGAGCTGGCAAATTGATTTTGTGAATGTATCATTAATATAATTTAAATAAGCAACACTTTAACAATCTGCATACTGTAACATTCACCCAATTCACATTTACTGGAACAAGACACAACGATACACATACCAACATACTGATGCATTATCAAATATTAATTATATAACTGCAGCAACACTTATGCAAATACTTACACAACAAGAATACTTTGAGCAGTCGAAAAACATGTACAAGGGTTTTTCTGTAGTTTTTCAGGCCACAAGCATTGCAGCAACCTTAGTGAAATATATCCACTATAAATGATGTAATTTGACAATGTACCGTTACTTAAATAAATAATTGTTTAAAACAAATGAGTTATGAAGTATTGCCGTAGATCTTTGCATCCGGTACAATCTGGAAGATATTAACGGGTCCTTTTAGTGAAACTCTAAAGTCTATGTACGTATGAATCCAGTGATGGTCAGTAAAGGCTACAGCCGTCGGTTTGCGATTCACACCTTTTACTTTGAGAGTCTTACAAGCCTTTTGCTGGAGATTGCTTAATTTGTGAAACTTTCCGCACTGCATGCGGAACCAGAAATGTTTCGCCGGATCTATGGTCGGGAAAAAATACTCTGGAGGTGAGAGAAACACACCCTGATCCTGAATGGACGGGATGTTACTTTTCATATACTCATTATATATTAACGTCACAAAGTGGGGCCCCGTGCTGTCAAGCACGTTCCACATATGTCGGAAGGCAGGTAAATTATCCATCAATTTCTTCATGAATGGATGTCGAGCTTGACAACCGATAAGAGCGTTGATTACCAGGTGTTCAAAATTTGCATCAAGGATGGGATGCTCGTATGGTTCCTGACTGATAAAACAGGAAAATTTCTTGGCCATAGGATCGATAGGTTTTAGACTTTCAAGGTCCATATCTGCATAAACACCTCCGAACTCATACAGAATGACGTAGCGGAGGGCATCCGCTTTACGAATACCTTCCGAATAATTATCAAATGTTGACAACAGAAACGGATATTTATCTTTGATAAGTGCATGTGCACTTTCATCTGTCCACAGAAAGTACTCCCAGTCCGGGTGATTGGCTTTCCAAGTTTTAATCCAGGTTATGAACTTACTCGGAATTTCAGTGTTTTTCCACGTTTGATGGATAATCTTGGGAATCCTATACGATCCAGAATCTGGAAGAGATTCATATTCCTGAAGTCCTAAGGGCACAAAACCCTTTTCAACTGGGATGTCAAGATCTTGAAAATTTCCATGAAGACGGACTTGTTCAAATTTGATGATCCAATGAACAAGAAAAAGAAGGAAATTTCCGACAGCGAGAGTTTTCAATGTTCCGGGCCTACTAACGGCCGAAATGAGACCCTTCATCTTCCTCATCCGTCCTCCTTGTAATCTGAAAATGTAGACAGGGGTTTACATTAATTTAGATCTAACATTTTAATGTTCGACATAGATTAGTCTTTTACATAAATTAGTCTTTGGCCTTTTACATAAATAAATGTACCGCCTTTCAATCAGAAATTTTGGCATTATAAATGGATTTTTCAATGTTGACATTAAAGCTAAATAAAAAAAGTAAAATAAACAGTGAAATATGTTGGTGGTAATTAAAAGTGAGGTGGAAAATGAAGCAAGTGGTATGATATCAAGGATTTTCTACAAAAACATTTATGTGTCTTTAGAAGAAGCAACTTAAGTTGATTTAACACATTTGACTCCTATGACATTAAAATAGGTCCATGTCATTAAGGCTAAACAAAACTTTTTGGTGTTTCCGGTAACCCTAACTACCCTAATTTTGTTTGCCTACCCTAAACTTTTTTAAGACAATTTTCAAAGAAATACTGTTAAAGTCAATATCACTCTCCTATATAAAACATTTAAAATTATTTGTTAAAATGAAATTTGTTACCTACCTACCAACCATAAATTTATCCAACATGTTATAGGAAACACATAATTATTTTGTCTGGCCTAAAACAAATTGATAGCCTGCAATTATAACACAAGGCCAAATAGGGTCAACACATTATCTCCAACTCAAAGTCAGGGACGGGCTTATTACAGAACAATAAAATAACATTTCTAATCTGCAGCACTCATTGCAACATTTTTCCCCCCGGACTACTTTCTGTTCTAAATGTCTAACTTGACAGTGCCTTGCTATTGGTCTTGGTGTTGAGGGTAAGCTCAAGTGAGGACAGTTATGGGTTCTGTCCCCAGACAAACCAAACTCGTTAAAATTCCCCTATTGCCCTTTGCTTCATGTTCTGGTTTAACCATTTCACCCCTATGTAACTATAGTAGACTCTATCGTGCATTGATCTGGATGAATCCATTATCGTCTACAGTGGTGAAAGTTAAATGGGTAGCAGTAATAACTGGTTATTATACATTGCCAGTATAATGTGACCAGGTGGAGTGCTATTGTAATAGGAGAAAGAGAAATGCACAGCAAGACCAGGATTCGAACTGGTGACCTTCCAAATTCCAGATTGACGCTCTTTCAATTGAGCTACCTTGTTGCCAACGATCAACTCAGTCCAGTTCCACTACGCTACCATGCCCAGTGTATGACCTTTCAGTGATATAGGGTACAATAACTTCAATCTGGCTGCGTCGTCCATGATCAACGATCAACTCAGTCCAGTTCCACTACACTACCATGCCCAATGTATGACCTATCAGTGAGATAGGGTAAAATAACTTCAATCTGGCCGCGTCGTCCATGATCAACGATCAACTCAGTCCAGTTCCACTACGCTACCATGTCCAGTGTATGACCTATCAGTGAGATAGGGTACAATAACTTCATTCTGGCCGCTTCGTCCATGATCAACGATCAACTCAGTCCAGTTCCACTACGCTACCATGTCCAGTGTTTGACCTATCAGTGATAAAGGGTACAATAACTTCAATCTGGCTGCGTCGTCCATGATCAACGATCAACTCAGTCCAGTTCCACTACACTACCATGCCCATTGTATGACCGATCAGTGAGATAGGGTCAATAACTCAATCTGGCCGCGTCATCCATGATCAATGATCAACTCGGTCCAGTTCCACTACACTACCATGTCTAGTGTATGACCTATCAGCGAGATAGGGTACAATAACTTCAATCTGGCCGCGTCGTCCATGATCAACGATCAACTCAGTCCAGTGCCACTACGCTACCATGCCCAGTGTATGACCTATCAGTGAGATAGGGTACAATAACTTCAATCTGGCTGCGTCGTCCATGATCAACAATCATCTCAGTCCAGTTCCTCTACGCTACCATGCCCAGTGTATGACCTATCAGTGAGATAGGGTACAATGACTTCAATCTGGCCGCGTCATCCATGATTAACGATCAACTCAGTCCAGTTCCACTACGCTACCATGCCCAGTGTATGACCTATCAGTGAGATAGGGTACAATGACTTCAATCTGGCCGCGTCGTCCATGAACACCATTCATTGACCTATACTGTTGCTTAGATTATCTGATGTGTTGCAGATATTAATTGTACATATATAGGATCACGGCCGCCTTCTAGCTTCGTGCTCGAGGGAATTTCCCTTGGGCTCAGTAGTAGAGCATCCGACTAGGAAGTCTGGGATCACCGGTTTGAACCCAGAGGATTGGTTTGGTTTAATTTTGTTTAATTAACAGCTAATGTCAAACCCGGAGGAAGCACACTCTCATTCTCATAACATGTTAATCTTTTTTGCAACCCAACTTAATGCTATGAAATGACATAGTATGGTTGACCTCCTAAAGAACCATGATGAAGGCACGCCAACGGACGTCATAGTCTTAGACTTCTTGAAAGCCTTCAACACTGGCCCCACAGAAAGCTGCTTTTCAAGATGAGGAATTACAATATTGATGGACCTGTCCATCAATTGCCAACATCATTTTTGTGTGACCGTGACATGAGAGTAGTCGTTGACGGTGATTACTCTCAGAGATCATTAGTACTATCCGGAGTTCTTCAGAGGATAGTTCTTGGCCCCCTGCTATTTCTCTGCCATATAAACGATTTACCTGATTCAGTCACCTGACATTAATAGTGCGTCTATTTGCATTAAATTGGAAGAATGGGCTGAAGTATGGGGGATGTCATTCAATGCTAGGAAGTGTACCGTTCTCCGTATAGACAGCAAAATAGTTTTACAAACAATTTGAACACATCCTACAACAGATGTCCGAAAGTCCTTATCTTGGCATCACCATATCTGATAATCTGAAATAGAACTCCAACATCAACAAATTAAAACCATCAAGAAAGCGAACTGCTCGCTCGGTTTTATCACTAGAAACCTCAAACGTTGCCCAGCAGAATGTTGTAGAACAGCCTACCTCTGCCTTGTTAGGTCCATCCTTGAGTACGGATCAGCTGTCTGGGACCCCTACGTACAACAAGACATAAACAGACTCGAGCAAGTGCAAAGGAGGGCAAGGTTTATCTCCGGATACTTTCGTTCACAAGAGGAAGAATGCATGACCAAAATATTAAGAGATGCGGGCCTGTCCCCACTAGCAGAACGACGTTGTATGCTTCATGAGTTCCCGATACCAGTTGCCGGAAACAAACGTAAAATTCGTCCGCAGGATGACTTATCGATACTGTTGAAAATTACATCTACAATAACTCCAAGTGTTTCAAAGTCCATAATTGTAGAGCAGAACAATTTAAAAACTCTTTCTTCAATAAGACTACTATTGACTGGAACCATCTGGCCGACAACTCCACGCATAGTACCACGGTGGAGAGTTTCAAAGGAACCTTCACCCTCCAGAACTATACTACTGTAGATTACTTAGCACTTCTCCCCCGGCGCGATACATGTCCTGAGGGTCCGTCGATTAAGCCAATACAACCCAATACTACCTAATACAGTAGTCCTGAGGGACCCTGCGCCGTATATGTGATGTTTACAGTAGGCCTATTTATAACTTTGTTAAACAGAGCTTGATTTATCTTTTGCTAGCTGTGGAGATGCATAATACATGTAATTATTACGAATGGACGCTTTATATAAGTGTATATTACTTACGGCCACAAGACCCTTGGTTCAGTTACCATAACCACAAAAGTTTTGGGTTTTAGGCCGGTATGTACTCAGGTCAATATGATGCTACATATATGTATATTCGCGATGGGCAAATGGGTGCAGATCTAATCATGCGATGCAGAACGTTTAGTCTCTAAAAGATATAAATGTATTTGACATGCAAGATTATGACATCACGTGTACAACTCACTCAGTATATAAAGATGTTGACACATCGGATTCTACATCCGACATCGGCAACAACAGAAACAGACCATCAATTTAGGGCTACTCCTTTATCAACGGAAATGGTATTAAAGGGGAGTAACTCCTTACGAAGTCTGTTTACTATTTCATGGAGACAGACCACAATTAATTCCAGGGTTCCGATATACTATACATGAAGGCCTTAAGGGAGCACTGTAGTTTAAACAGTATTTAATTCAATAATCCAAATTTTAACATTCATCCTACTATTTTTTCCGAGACGTAATCTTTTTTCAAGTTTTGCTTAACTAGAGTAACTAGTGACCTGGGTTGATCGCTGTTCACCAGGACCACTCAATTAGTAGTGTCTGTCTAGAGTTAAATCCTATGGATGTGCATTTCTGTGTCCTCTGGTGCATGGTTTGGTGTAATTTTGTTTAACGTCCTATTAACAGCTAAGATCATTTAAGGACGTGCCTCCATGTGTGTACTGTATGAGTGCTTGCGTGTGTGTATGCAGGAGACAGGATATGTCTGTGTGCTTGCCTCCTTGTGATAGCACGGATCTGATGCCGACTTTATAGTGCTATCTCACTGAAATGCCATGCTGAAGGCACCCTGAGCACAGCATTCTGCCCGGTCACATTATACTGACAACGGGTGAACCAGTTGCCCTTCCCCTAAATGCTGAACGTTTAGCAGGGAATAACGTTATAACTACCATTTTTAAGGACTTTGATATGTCCCAGCCTGGGTACAGAACCCATTGCCTTCCTCACCTGGGCGAACGCTCAATAATAGGCTAAAAGTGAAGAGTTTCCAAGCAATGCTGTAGGAAATCAAAAAGTAGTTAGAAGTAGAAAGAAAGATAAAGATCCCAAATATTGCAATAGTTGCAGCAGATTTATTTTGGTCACTTTTGTGTCCCCAAATAGACTTTTTTCAGGAGGATAACTATATTTGAATCCCTGGTTGAGGTCATTAACACAATAGAAAGCCTTTCATTTAGAAAGATCTAGATATCAAGATTACCACCTCACAGCTATGAAGAAGTGCCCTGGTAACTCAAATATCAAGCGGAGCAGGATGTCACACCATCATAAGGATCTTGTTGTTGAAGAGGAGTAAAAAAGAGAGCAAAAACACAGATCAAACATATTTAATATTATTTATTTCATAAAACAACTACAGTTAGATGTGGTTATCGTCAATATTAAATTGGAGGGAAACAGGAAACAACTGACAATCTCTGACCTATAGGCAGTGAGCAACCAATTTCTCATGAAAATAAAAGTAATTTGCATATTTATAAAGTTTTCTCTCAAAATCAATTTTTGCCATGATACAATCATTCTTGTGCATTAAACAACCTTGTTTACAACATGTAAGTTAGATATTGTGAATCCACTGCAAATTACTTTAAACTCATTTACCCCTGAAGGCACATTTGAACTCTTCCAATTCAAAGGTTGGATTAGTTCATTATGAAACTTCAGGGGTGAATGAGTTAATTTGATAAAGGAAGAAAATTAAAACCTTTGATAATTGCTAACGGTCTAAATGATTGAAATTTTAATTAAAATTCAAAGGCATCAACATTTGAGAAGAGGCAAATGGTTTCAAAAAAAGAAACAGAGAAATCAGAGAATTAAATAAAATATAAATAAAAGTATGGCAAAAATTAATTTAGACAAAACTGAGTACATACATTTTTATTTTTTTGAGAAGTTGGGAGTTTCTGCTTAAATAAAAATAAATCAGAGAATGACTTAAGTGTTAGCCAGCCCTAGCATATGATTTCTGTTTTAATAATAATGTTGTCCAATATTGCACTTAAAGAACTTTTTTCACAAATCTTATTAAACTGAAACATTCATTTTACAAATTAGAAAATCTACCTAATAACCCCATAACTTACATGTCTGGTAAAATTCGATTTTGGTAGAATTGATGACCTTTGCTAATTAAAAAACCAAGTTAAAATCTGTGCGATGTTGGCAAAGTAACAAACGTATACAAATGCTACCGTTACATTTCATTTTACCCAAATAATATTCTCTAAAATCATCAATCTTGACTACTGTATACCGCAAATTTTTCGCCAAGTAAAATTTTTGCCCTATGCCAAGGAAATCCATTTCCCCCAAATGTTTATTTCACCCTACACTTTCGATTACTATGGTTATTATATCGCTCACCACAGTTCGCTGTATTGATAAATTCGCCCATTAATGCACAGGGCTAAAATAAGCGAAATACAAAACTGCGGCGAAAATTTTCCGGTATACTGTTCTTGATAAGACAAGCTTGGCCTTACTTTATTTTGATAGTCTTATGCTAAAACAAAATTTCAGGACGTGGTCACTGCAGATTTCCAGAGTCACATGCACTTTAAGAACTCAGTAGCAGATCCAGAGGCTTAGGGCCGTCTTGTTTCCTTAACCAAATATTTTAATGCGAAGTTACTCTGGTACACTCTCTTGTCAACCTTTTCGTTTTTTGTTTAGGCCCCCACCCATTTCAGATAACCTGGATTCCCTGTTGGATTCTTAAGTCAGATACCAGTTAATAGGATATATGAAATTACATGATACATGCATACAGACTTTCACAGATGTCCAGTGTGAAAAAAAACATTGATTCCTGATCAATTCTATGACATAAAATTAGTAATCGTTTTTTTTTTTTTTATCCAGCAATGTCAATTTACCAATATACATTGTAAAGAACGAATATTTTCAGAAAAAAAATGCAGGTATGACATGAGTTTTTTATACTTAAATGTTTCAACAAAATATTGTACATAAAGTATCAGACAGACCAGGGAAAACCAACCCTGCTATCAACAATGACAAGGAGAAACTCTTCCCTCGTATCAGACAGATACAAAGGAAACAATCCCTCACACATATGTACGATGTAGGGAAACTTCCTTCATATCAATTACGAGACAATTTAAAAGATATAACGAATATAATAGGAATCTACCCAATTGAAAATGTGTGCAAATTGGCTGCGAATTTGTCACTGAAACATGTGGAGAAAATGATAATTGTACTAAGTATGTAAAGAACTACCTATTTCTTAGATATATATATAAAACAAACACTGAAAATAGCACCATCTTGTCCTCTACGATAGCCAGGACTCTAACAACCAGTTCCAGATGGTGGATTTCATATACTCCCTGTTGGAGCACACAAGTACTTTCCTTTATTCTTACAAGTCAATATACATGTAAAGTTTGGTCTCCTTTATTCTTACAAGTCAATATACATGTAAAGTTTGGCCACCTAAACACTAACTCATTCACTCCTGAAGACACATTTGAACTCCTTTAGTTCAAAGGTTGGAAATAGTTCATAATGAAATATCTGGGATGAATGAGTTAAAATGCCTCATATACTGTATAATATAAAGATATCTGGTATTGGGCTCTACTTAAACATTTTCTATGTCATTTCTATTTTGTGAGATGCATTTGTGCATTTTAACTCATACCCCCTTGAAATTTTATAATGAACTATTCCAATCTGTGAATTAGAAGAGTTCAAATGAGTCTTCAGGGGTGAATGAGATAAACTAGGCTTGGCTTTGACAGTCAATTACAAAGTACATGTAATTAAAATGCCTCACAAATAAAAACATTTTTTTCAAATGTTTTTTAAGAATAGGATATAGATATATATATATATATTAATATAATAAATTGTTGAACTCAATTTGTCCAGAATAAATTAATAAAACACAATCATGAAAATGCACTTGTGCAAAAGAGTTTTGAACATGAACTGTCTGATTTCCTTAAATGTTGCCGAAAATCTATGAAAACCTGATGAAAGTGATCTTCAAGAAAACAGTCGAGATTCTCAATCTTTGAAAATCCACCAAACAGACTTGTAATAGAAATCTTGGCTATCCGTCATCTTTTTACGACCTCTACCATAACAACACACATACAAAGACTCAATTTACATACAACCACACACCCAAACAGACACATCTGACCATACCCTCATACAAAGGCCTCGCCCCAGTCACAAGTTAAAGCTATATATGCAATAAAATAACAGATACATTTTGTAAAGTTGCAAACTACAGTAGTAACATGACATGAAAACTTATCAATCTATTACCCATTAAGCACTTTCTTTCTCGACTCAGTTTGTATTAGAATTAATTAGCTTGATGACACATACTATTACATTTTAATGGTCTGTTTAGCTTATCTTATTGATGTAAGCCTGCATTTTACATCATACATGTGAACTTTTTATAGTTATCTCCCTTCTCTGTGTGAAACACTTTTGGTAAGGAGATAGCATATAGCCCGATGACTTTCTGCTTTGTCTGTATATTCTGTCCTTTCGTATTGCAGAGTTATTTGCTCTTGTGAGCAGATATTGATTGTTACGTCATTTGTTAGTGAGAGTAAAGTCATCAATTTTTGAGAAAATGACGTAATTTTCTCACACAAACCAATGGCGTAACAATCAATACCTGCTCACAAGAGAAGATAACTCTGCAATACGCAAAGACAGAATAGCCTGATGATTTTTTGCCTGTCTGTATATATTTTATGTTATACATCAAAACAAGATGGCTAAAATGTGTCGGATATATTTTTATGTCTTTTTGTTATTACCCTAATTAATTTTGATAAAACTGAGCCCCTTTGGAAACTCACATTCATAAAGTGATCCAAATAAAAAGTTTGGAAATATTAAATATCTCTTATTAAAACTGTTCTCAGTTTAAATAGCACTCAATCAAGTGATATACATTAGAGCCTAGTTAATCCAGACATCTATATGTTTCCACCTCAAGTGTCTGGACCATGAAAAGGGAGAATCTGTTTCCCACCAATTAGATAATGGGACCAACCGATCTAATATTGGAGACTTGATTGTATATAAAAGGGTTAAATGTATTTCTATATATAGCGTTGATGTTTTTCTGTTCCATTCAAATTGAAAAAAATACTTGACAAATAAATAGCTCTACCACTGTTTTATATACACTGTGTATTACTGCTTTTTTTGGCACACACTTCGTCTCACAAACTGACTTTTCCACAAACATTTCTGTTGAGATTAATTTGTCTTTCACTTAACGTACATGTCTTGCGTTATAAAAAAAATCTGTTCGCATGACACTTGAATTCCCGATCAATGCTTAATGCGAAATTATGCAAAATATACAGTAAATATACTGTACGAAGAAATAACACAGTTCAAAGTCTGCTTTCCTACACATTAATGCTGAGCCTCACCTATTAAAACACTTCAAATGTTGCCAAATCGGGTATTTGTTATACTTTTCACAGCTAGCAGATGCTGGAATGTTAAACAATAGAACAAGAAAAATATCTTGGGCTATTCCAAAGTCATATGGGAGGGGTGGGAGGCACCTGTATTATAATTATCATATTATGGGTGAAGGGCTTAATCCAGACCTGCCTACCATTCATGATAAATCACTTTTAATATTTGTGTAGTTATCAGTGTTAATCGTTCCATACTTGATCCGGTAGTTAGTACCACCCACTATGTGTGTACTTGGGTGCTTCATCACCACTTTGTGTGTTCTTGGGTGCCACTTCACCACTTTGTGTGTTCTTGGGTGCCACATCACCACTTTGTGTGTTCTTGGGTGCCACATCACCACTTTGTGTGTACATGGGTGCTACATCACCACTATTGTTGTAGATGAAAATAAATGTAGCTAACATGATGCAGACACATGTTGTTGTTGTGCTGATAGTCTAATGGCGAAACAAGGCTGAAGACACAACAATTTGATTGGTGGAGTCTCTGAAAACGTGCCTCCCACGCTCCAATAGTTATTTCTGGAACTGCCCCTACATAATTTTAAAGGGCAATAAACTGAATGATCCATTATTCATATATAGTTTTGAAGATTTCTTGACCACTATAAAGTGTTTGTGCCCCATTTATTTACTTACTGATATAAAATGGGACCTCTTACAAACCAAGATAGCTATGCACTGCCTCTTTATAAAACAGCCACTCTTACACTATATCTTTCTGAAAATTGATCTACTAAATCTACTAATTAATTGTGCTTTGTTGTTGATTAATATGATTAATCAATAATTCAAAATACCAGTAACACACAAGAAAACTGAAAACTGAATGTTTTCAGCAAGATACAATATAGATGATAATACACCTTTTGAAGACTTTCGTTCACGAATGAACATGATATTTAAATAACTATTATAATAACTAGATAGGTTCTGAACACTTGATCCAATACTATTGTTACCTAAAATATTTACCTTAAATTTTATCATTTTCATTTTAATCGACATCAAAGCACAAATATGAAACAGATTTTTTCTAAACGATGATACATGGTATAATAAAATTTCTTTGATTATACAAGGTGAAGATAAATATATGCTTTGACAAGTTTTTCATGAAATACTATTCTGTATTAAGTGTTCCAGTCACCAACAGCCAGAAGTCACTTTTTAGTTCAAAAATATTTTCCGGACACTAAGTCATGCTCTACTTTGTATTTCCAACTCACACGTTCACCCTATTCTTTCATTCTCACTATATAACAATCTTATCACCATCTTCTATTCATACTAAACTGGCCAGTGTATTTATTGACCAATCATGAGCAGATGTGCGTTCCCTGAATCTCATTGGTCAGATAAAAACTGTATTTTTCTTACTTTCAGCCAATCGGATCACAGAAGTGCCCTCCCTCACTTAAAAAAAAAAAGAAATCCATTCTTCAACCATATTTAGTCTTCAAGATAGTAAGGGCAAAAGTTTTCTCCAGAAGATCTATTACAAATCAATTATTTAGATCGTGACTTTATATAGAAGAAAAATATACCATTGATTAGATTGTTTTTTTTTATTGGAGTTTTTATCCAGGGAACTTCCACCACTCAGATCGGAGAGTTCAACCTAATCAAGCATCTTAATGACAAAGATACAATGGCACTGGACCCGATCTGGCTGACCATCATGGTTACACGATCCACAGCTGGTAATGCCACGCTATCCACCGAGTGGACACATAACGAAGACACAAATATCCACTGAGTTGATACAAGGCAAAGTCACGCTATCCACTGAGTTGATACAAGGCAAAGTTACGCTATCCACTGCATGATATTGTGTTAGGCTATCCACTTCAACAAACAACTTCGGAAAGTAAAACTTTCATTATGTTGAAAAGAACATCTTGGGTGGACTAGTGCGAGAACTTCATAATAAATACCTAGTGTGACCACCATGTCGGAGTTCATTTCACAAACTTCTACGGAAACAAGGTCATTTCCTTTTGATAAATCCTACAAAATCTATTTATAGCCTTCCGCCATGAGTCATGCATTTTGAAATTGAGCATTTTTACATGCTGCATCGTTCGTATGTCACATGACAAAATGGGCCAACAAATAATGGCGAAGTGAATGAAAATGAATATCAAGAAGGGAGAACCAGTCCCTAACCAACTTGAAATACAGTGTGTGATAATGACAAGCAGCCGATGAGAACAGATGTCATGTCATGTAGCGCTTCTTGTGGTCGGATAAGATTTCTGAGACTGCCACCAGCTTCCTCAGAGAAGTCTGAAAAGACAATTAAAGCAACCATCACAATTACCTCAAACACATTGGGATTAAATTCAAAATTAAAGAATGTGCATTATAGCTAAGAGAAAGTTTCAACAAATGTCTTGATGAACTGGGCTACATTCGCGTATCTGGTTGAAATGGTCAAACTGGTTGAACCTGTGAAGAGATCAACAGGCACAGTTGGCTGACCTCAGGAATATTCGGCACGTGTAGACTGGGGGTTCCAGACGTACCTGACCAAACTAAAATGCAGATTATTGCTAGTTTGCGTTATTTCTTTCTAAAACAATGTCAAGCCACGTACATGTAGTTTTTAAGATATTTTATGTAATTCAGTAGACGGATAAAAGAAGGGCATAATATTCTTGATACATTGTTTTTTATTATCCAAAACTGTGCATTTTTAGCTCTGTCCAAGTGCGTTCGTTTATCATTGAACATTTCTGCGCCGCCTGTACCGTTTCAACCAGGATACGCGAATGTAACCTAGCTTTATGATTGCACAACTATGCTGTGTAAAGTGCTGCATACTAAGTTAAGAATTATGCTACCTTATCTAAGAAGTCTTATGTTCCAAACTGAACAAGGTATTCAGTATAGCAGTGTTTTTATTACATAAAAAGTTCTTTAACAGGCCCAATAACTTCAACATAATCACTTGCTGATTTTTCTGAGTTCCACTATTCCGTCTTTGCGTATTACAGAGTTATCTTCTCTTGGGAGCAGGTATTGATTGTTACGTCATTGGTTTGTGTGAGAAAATTACGTTGGTTTCTCAAAAATTGATGATGTTACTCTCACAAACAAGTGATGTAACAATCAATACCTGCTCCCAGGAGAAGATAACTCTGCAATACGCAAAGACTGAATATGCGAGGCAGAGATGAGATTTGTTGCTTGTGAAAATATCACTTCATATTAAGGTTTTCACTTTATGCTGGACTAGTGGTAATTCTAGTACTGTATAACACAAAATGTTTGTGGGTACTTTCCTTCGTGGTTTGAAGCCATTCAGATCGTTTCGTGGTACAAACTTTCATATTAACAAACATTAGACACGTGTATCATTCAAATTCGTTATGTTTATTTTTGTGGTTCAATAACAACCACGAAAACCACAAATATTTATACACAATGAAGATTTCATGTTATACAGTATCAGAAAAAAAGTCTACGCTCTATATATCTGGAAGTTCTTTCACAGTCCTGACCCCTTCAGTATACTGACCTTTGACTCGCTAAGTTTCCTGAGTTCTATCAGATGTGAGGCACAGATCTGATGAATTGTGGCAAGATTTCTGGCCACGTCGTTGATGTTCACCTGAAGTCGACTCGTGTCCACTTCCGACATATTCTGTGTAATATACAACAACAATGGCTTATAAACAAATGTCTTCAACGCATGTGCTAAGAACGTTATCCTTAAAATTCCATTTCAAAGCAACAGTGATTTGACTGATAAACATACGATACTTATCAGACACCCAGGCCAACCAATTATCAGATTCGTACACCCAGGCCAACCAATTATCAGATTCTGCACCCAGGCCAACCAATTATCAGATTCGTACACCCAGGCCAACCAATTATCAGATTCGTACAAGTGCTTACCATTAACATACTTACAATTCCTTATCTGAATGTGCCAGCAACATGTATTCTTATGAATTTTCAGGTAAAACAATAACCTTTCTGATGGCTTAAAAAAAACGTTTTATAATAACAATAATAAAAATTTGAGGTTCTTATTTACCACTTGATCACAATCTAGTTTGTAGGTCGTCTCAAAGCGTTTCACAAATTATTATCCGTGGTTATAGGGCCTTTGCAACCAGCCAATATCTTTCTTAACTCCTTGGGGAACATACAGCCGGAGCTGCCATTACGGCGCTAACAGCTAGCATTCAACAATTCTAACACTGCCCAACCAAGTACTCATTTACAGCTGAGTAGACTGGAACAAGTGGAGTAAAGTATCTTGTTCAAAGATGCAACACAGTGCCGTGCCGTGACTCGAACCCGCAACCCTTCGGTCATGAGCCCGGCATCCTACCACTACACTACCGTGCCTCTGTACGTTTTAACCTTTGCAGTAACACTTTAATATATCGTATACCGATATACAGGAAATTTCAGTGTTCGCTTTCCATACACTTCATATACGACCTTCTCTGATCTATGTCTATGTCTTCCCAAGTCAATATAGGTCACGGTATTGGAAGCTTTACATCTGAAGTAGGTGTGATCATTGCAGGAAACATTTCTTCAAGTTTATCATATACACATTTCCAAGTAATGTGCTGATAGCTGGAGTTGACGTGCACATGCACTGTTACACATTGTTTACCTCCTAAACATTGAAATGTCCAATACCCAATACGGAAATGACGACACAAAAATATGTGTATTACAAAGGGTGGAAAGTCCTTAACAGAAAAATAAATCTCCCACAAAAGTTGATATGATTTACAGTAAGGAATATCCAGTGTTGTGTAGGAGGAGGTACTTACTGATAATTCATCATCGCTCAACAGAAAAATAAATCTCTCACAAAAGTTGATATGATTTACAGTAAGGAACATACAGTGTTGTGTACGAGGAGGTACTTACTGATAATTCATCATCGCTCAACAGAAAAATAAATCTCTCACAAAAGTTAATATGAGTTACAGTAAGGAACATCCAGTGTTGTGCAGGAGGAGGTACTTACTGATAATTCGTCCAGGAACACCACCATCCTCTCCTTGTTTCTTTTGATAAAAGGATTGATGACTTCCATGAAGGATTCCTACAATATTATCATTATTATTAATGCTTGACGGCTCATCAACACAGGATAGGTCGACGTCATTAGGGCCAACAAATGGTCGGGGGGAAAAGGCAAAGCAAAATGAAAACATCAAACAAAATTAAATGTAAAAAGACAAACGTCAATTTGAATATTGAAAGTGGCTATGTGATCACTCAAATTTTATTCAAAAGACCAACAGCTTTCAGATAGCTCAAAATTGAAGAGACAGTTATGTTTTCAAAAAGAGATTTAAGACATGTAATGTTATTATAGAAATTTTCTCAAGTTGACTTAAAGTCGACACAATCTAATAAGTGTTTTACTGTAAATGATTCCCGACATGCTATACATTGAGGCTGGACATCACATTTAAGTAAATAACAATGGGTAATGTATGAATGACCAATCCGGAGACGGGCAAGGACAACCTCGTCTCGGTGCCTCTCTCTGTAGCTAGGATGCCATTCAACGATTTTAGGTATAATAGAATGTAATAACACAAGACAACACGGACCAATAAAAGAATTGTAGGAGATAGCAAGGACGTGAAGTAGACATAGAATGATGGGAATGGATAAACAGCTATCTCAAACAAGTGGCCCATTGGCCTGTATTGCTCATCTGTTTTTCAATGGTGTTGGTATACATATCTTATATCTATTGCCTTTAATGTGCGTCAAAGTCAAATATTACAGAAACTGACAACTAGCAAGGTAACACTACAGGATAATTATTCTGTATCATTTTTGATGGTTGTTGGAAGATTGTTTGAATAAATGAATAAATAACCTTTCACAGTTGCATAGTCAACAGGGCATTTGATGGACACACAATTATAGGTACATTTTCTAAACATAAACGAGTTTGTTTCACACCCAGTTTTTCATTAATATTAACGGCCATTGTTTTCCTGCAATGACTCTGTAAACTGATTAATATGAGGTTAAAGCAAGGAAAATCACTTTGATGTTGTATTCACAATGAAAATTTTAGAAAGTGATTTATTACACCATTATCAGATAAACACACAAAACAGTCTGCTCGCCTCACCTCTGGGTAACCTGATATGCTTTTAAACTACCAGTCATAGTTCCCAAGACCTACCTTTGCACCAAACTCTACAAGATTGGCTAAGTTTTGAAGTGCTTTGGCGACAAGTTTAAGCGTCCTGGAGGCCATTTCTGTAGGAGTTTCTATGAAAAAAATGCAAACAAACAGGAAGTTATCGTATGTGAACAATGTAAAATTGTACCTGAAATATGACTAAAACTCTGGCAACAGTAGTTCTAAAGAGGAAGGTTTTCAAACTTTCATATCCATCATTTATTGTTTGTGTTGAGCTTGTATATCTCTGGACAATGTATACATAATGGGACAATCTGTTTTGTATCAATGATGATTTGCCCAGTGGCAAACAGTGACCAACCTATCCAGTCAAGAAACATTTAATATCTAAATAACCTGGCAACCACACTTCAACATTGCAAATCTATGTATTGCCATGTTTACATAAAACAAGAATTACACGTAATAAGATGTCTCGCCTGTCCCTGCTTTGATCATAAGATTCACATGAAACACACAGCTAAACGCAAAAACTTAACATTGATGAAGATGCTGTGAAAATCACTGGACCGCGAAATATAGACCGCATTCAGCAACTGATGCATGGATTGAGGTGAAGTATATAAGACGAATGAATGGTTGGTCTAGCACTTATACTTTTGAGAAACAAGAGCTAAACCCAAAAACTTAAGGTTGACGCAGCAGCTGGAAAAGTAACACCTAAGTCCCGCATCCTTGCTGATTTTTTTTTATGGAAATATTACGGAAATTGTCCTGACTTAAAGTTCTATATAGCATGTGATAGAAATTTCTTACCTGATATAAGATTGAAGGACTTTGGGTTGATGATCGCAGGACAGAGCAAACGCAAGAATATAAACCCACTGTGAATACAAAACAGTAATGTTGCTAAATTAAACACACCTTTGTAGTGGAAAGTTTTTCTTTTAACAAATTAATATCTAACACATTTCTGACAAACTGAATTAAACTTCCCTGTGTAAAATGTTTTAACAACTTATGAGAACATGTAAATAATAAGAACCTCACACAGTCCCTTACAGTTACTGATTTAGAAATAACATATTCACAAGGATGATTTTTTTTTTCTCCAACAGTTTTAGAGTTTATGTATTGTTTGTGTTAATTCTGATAGTAATATAGTAGTACTGAATGCTCATATACATGCTCTGGACAATAATTAAGGATCCTTGTTCAACTGCAAAAAAAAGCAACCACGCATCAAAACAGTTTTTCTTCCTCAGCATGATAATAGTACAGGTTTGATAAATCATTTCTGAACAGAAAAGCATACCTTGCGGAACTTAATATGAAAATATTGACAACAACAGCAACAGTCTTCTGAATGTAACAATTTAGACCAGGATTCGAACCCTGAACTTCAGATTGTTATACTATTACTCCCACTGAGCTAACTGGTCAGCAGAAGTGCTTTGGCCAAACCCTGCTACAGTTATAGCATTATAGAGTTGGTCAAACTCTGTTACAGTTATACCATTATAGAGATGGCCAAACTCTGTTACAGTTATACCATTATAGAGATGGTCAAACTCTGTTACAGTTATACCATTATAGAGTTGGTTAAACTCTGCTATAGTTATACCATTATAGAGTTGGCCAAACTCTGTTAAACTCTACTATAGTTATAGCATTATAGAGTTGGCCAAACTCTGTTACAGTTACACCATTATAGAGTTGGCCAAACTCTGTTACAGTTATGCCATTATAGAGTTGGCCAAACTCTGTTACAGTTACACCATTATAGAGTTGGCCAAACTCTGCTACAGTTATAGCATTATAGAGTTGGCCAAACTCTGTTACATTTATACCATTATAGAGTTGGGCAAACTCTGTTACAGATATACCATTATAGAGTTGGACAAACTCTGATACAGTTATACCATTATAGAGTTGGCCAAACTCTACTACAGTTATACCATTATAGAGTTGGCCAAACTATGATACAGTTCCACCATTATAGAGTTGGTCAAACCCTGCTACAGTTATACCATTATAGAGTTGGCCAAACTCTGCTACAGTTATACCATTATAGAGTTGGTCACACTCTGCTATAGTTATACCATTATAGAGTTGGCCAAACTCTGATACAGTTATGCCATTATAGAGTTGGCCAAACTCTGTTACAGTTACACCATTATAGAGTTGGCCAAACTCTGCTACAGTTATACCATTATAGAGTTGGTCACACTCTGCTATAGTTATACCATTATAGAGTTGGCCAAACTCTACTACAGTTATACCATTATAGAGTTGGCCAAACTATGATACAGTTCCACCATTATAGAGTTGGTCAAACCCTGCTACAGTTATACCATTATAGAGTTGGTCAAACTCTGCTATAGTTATACCATTATAGAGTTGGCCAAACTCTGCTACAGTTATAGCATTATAGAGTTGGCCAAACGCTGTTACAGTTATACCATTATAGAGTTGGCCAAACTCTACTACAGTTATACCATTATAGAGTTGGCCAAACTCTGATACAGTTATACCATTATAGAGTTGGTCAAACTCTGATACAGTTACTCCATTATAGAGTTGGCCAAACTCTGATACAGTTATACCATTATAAAGTTGGTCAAACTCTGATACAGTTATACCATTATAGAGTTGGCCAAACCCTGCTACAGTTATACCATTATAGAGATGGCCAAACTCTGTTACAGTTATACCATTATAGAGATGGTCAAACTCTGTTACAGTTATACCATTATAGAGTTAGTCAAACTCTGCTATAGTTATACCATTATAGAGTTGGCCAAACTCTACTACAGTTATACCATTATAGAGTTGGCCAAACTATGATACAGTTCCACCATTATAGAGTTGGTCAAACCCTGCTACAGTTATACCATTATAGAGTTGGCCAAACTATGATACAGTTCCACCATTATAGAGTTGGTCAAACCCTGCTACAGTTATACCATTATAGAGTTGGTCAAACTCTGATACAGTTACTCCATTATAGAGTTGGCCAAACTCTGATACAGTTACACCATTATAGAATTGGTCAAACCCTGCTACAGTTATACCATTATAGAGTTGGTCAAACTCTGCTATAGTTATACCATTATAGAGTTGGTCAAACTCTGCTACAGTTATAGCATTATAGAGTTGGCCAAACTCTGTTACAGTTATACCATTATAGAGTTAGTCAAACTCTGCTATAGTTATACCATTATAGAGTTGGCCAAACTCTGATACAGTTACACCATTATAGAGTTGGTCAAACCCTGCTACAGTTATACCATTATAGAGTTGGCCAAACTCTGATACAGTTACACCATTATAGAGTTGGTCAAACCCTGCTACAGTTATACCATTATAGAGTTGGCCAAACTCTGTTACAGTTACACCATTATAGAGTTGGCCAAACTCTGCTACAGTTATACCATTATAGAGTTGGCCAAACTCTGCTACAGTTATACCATTATAGAGATGGCCAAACTCTACTATAGTTATACCATAATAGAGTTGGCCAAACTCTGTTACAGTTATACCATTATAGAGTTGGCCAGACTCTACTATAGTTATACCATTATAGAGTTGGCCAAACTCTGCTACAGTTATACCATTATAGAGATGGCCAAACTCTACTGTAGTTATACCATTATAGAGTTGGCCAAACTCTGCTACAGTTATACCATTATAGAGATGGCAAAACTCTACTATAGTTATACCATTATAGAGTTGGCCAAACTCTGTTACAGTTATACCATTATAGAGATGGCCAGACTCTGTTACAGTTATACCATTATAGAGTTGGCCAGACTCTGCTACAGTTATACCATTATAGAGATGGCCAAACTCTACTATAGTTATACCATTATAGAGTTGGCCAAACTCTGTTACAGTTATACCATTATAGAGTTGGCCAAACTCTACTACAGTTATACCATTATAGAGTTGGCCAGACTCTGCTACAGTTATACCATTATAGAGTTGGTCAAACTCTGCTACAGTTATACCATTATAAAGTTGGCCAAACTCCACTATAGTTATACCATTATAGAGATGGCCAAACTCTGCTTTAGTTATACCATTATAGAGTTGGCCAAACTCTGTTACAGTTATACCATTATAGAGATGGCCAGACTCTGCTACAATTATACCATTATAGAGTTGGCCAAACTCCACTACAGTTATACCATTATAGAGTTGGCCAAACTCTGCTACAGTTATACCATTATAAAAATGGCCAAACTCCACTATAGTTATACCATTATAGAGATGGCCAAACTCTGCTTTAGTTACACCATTATAGAGTTGGCCAAACTCTGTTACAGTTATACCATTATAGAGATGGCCAAACTCTGCTACAGTTATACCATTATAGAGTTAAGGGGAAGTTTTTGTATATACGAAAAACTACAGTGCAGTCGGACAGAGATCTTTATCTCTAAACCTGATCCATATCAAATTCTGCTTTAGAAGGAAGTTTATTGTTACCTGACAACCTGCGTTCACATACTCTCATCGTTACCTGACAACCCGCGTTCTCACACTCTCATCGTTTATCCACTTGGCTGCCACACTTCTTTGTAAACAGCCACATATAAATCTAAGTACCCTGAAATGCAAAAACAAATCAGCATATAGAAACTGTCATAAATCAACTTCAGGATGCTAAACAGACATAAATCAACTTCAGCACACAGATACAGACTGATATAACAGAACTTCAGCATCTAAAACAGACACATGTGTAAACCTCGGTTTAAAACTCTAAAACAGACACATGTGTAAACCTCGGTTTAAAACTCTAAAACAGACACATGTGTAAACCTCAGTTTAAAACTCTAAAACAGACACATGTGTAAACCTCGGTTTAAAACTCTAAAACAGATACATTTATAAACCCCAGTTTAAAACTCTAAAACAGACACATGTATAAACCTCAGTTTAAAACTCTAAAACAGACACATGTAAAAACCTCAGTTTAATACTCTAAAACAGACACAGGTATAAACCTCAGTTTAATACTCTAAAACAGACACATGTATAAACCTTAGTTTAAAACTCTAAAACAGACACATGTATAAACCTTAGTTTAAAACTCTATAACAGATACATTTATAAACCCCAGTTTAAAACAATCACATTGACAAAAATAAAGGGGTTCTATAAGGGTTTAGGGTATGGCCACTTACTTCGAAACACTTTAAACACCCTTTGTAATGAAGCTGTGGGGTTTTCAAAATCTAGATGCAGGTGATGACAAATAAATCATGCAGCTTATTGTGCTACTTCTCTCGATTACTGTGTGTAATGACAGGACAATGTGAGATTTCAGAAATATTTTCTGTAATGAAAGCTTCTTGTTTCCCAAGATTTGTCAATTTCATGTTGTAAGGTTACTACCTAAGTGTGTGAGATCGGAAAGATTGGATTTGTTCTGAAAAATAAAGTGTATGGGTAACAACATAAACTTCTAGAACGAGGTGAGGCTTGGCTAAGACTGTCATGGACTGACAGGTCCTTCAGATTTTACCAGAATTGTTTTCCATTTTAAAGAGGATTCTGCATAAAATAACTAAAAGACACGTCTAACAATACTTACACAGGACAGCTGCCTATAGCTTTGATTATCGACTCTGTGACATCGTTAAGGTGATAGAGGAAGTTGTCCCTGTTGGCCGCTATGTCGGCTCCACTTTCTAATAGCGTGGGGTTCAACTACAACAAACCACATATACATGAAAAACTTATATATCAAAACGGCATTGAACTCGGAATAAAAACAGTGCACTTATTTATATAAAGGATCTTTTTTCATAAGGCGTTATGTTAAAATCTTTAAAAAAAAAAACACTTGGTTAGTAACTGGTGGTATAAAGAAAAAATATTCTATAAATATTCAGAATTTCTTCCAAGTTGAAGTGCCAATCTTTGCAGTTCTGAATACAAACGATCAGATTTTGACACAACACAACATTTACACTAAACCCCAACATGAAAAGAATGGCTTAACCCCCAAAAAACATCTACACTAAACATTAAGTGAGAAAGCAGTGGCTCATAAACAACACTTTTCTTAGTTTTGAAGGATGAAACAAACAGAGGTTTCCATCCTATATACAGTAAACACTTTCAACAACTGAAAAAACAAGGGTCTTTATCAGGAAATCATGAATAAGCTGACTATTTGTGGAGTGCATCAGCCTATAGATCCTAAGTCTCTAGTTCCTAAGTCTCTAGTGCATCAGCTTATAGATTCTAAGTCTCTAGTTCCTAAGTCTCTAGTGCATCAGCATATAGATTCTAAGTCTCTAGTGCATCAGCATAAAGATTCTAAGTCTCTAGTTCCTAAGTCTCTAGTGCATCAGCATA